CTTGCCCTCCTGAAATGCTGGGATTATGAGCCACTGCGCCTGGCCAGTAACCCTACCACTTTGCGAGGGAGGAAGTGGGAGGATCACTTGAGCCTGGAGTTTATAACCAACCTGGGCAACATGGCGAGACACTGTCTCTACTAAAAGTACACAAAATGAGCCAAGAGTGGTGGCACATGCCGATAGTCCCAGCTACCTGGGAGACTGAAGTAGGAGGATCACCTGAGCCTGGCAGTTGAAGGCTACAGGGAGCCTCCAGCCTGGGCAATAGAGTGAGACCCTGTCTCAAAAAACAAAAAACAAAAAGAAAAGAAAATTAAAGATTATCTAAACAAATGGGAAACATCTTATGCTCATGAACTGTAAGACAACATTGCTAAGATGGCAATTCTTCTCAAACTGACCTATAGATTCAATATAATCCCTAAGAAAATCCTAGCTGACTTTTTTGCAGAAATTAATGAATTGATTATAAAATTTATATGGTTTTAGCCAGGCGCAGTGACTAATACTTGTAATCCCAGCACTTTGGGAGGCCAAGGGAGGTGGATCACTTGAAGCCAGGAGTTGGAAACCAGCCTGGCCAACATGGCAAAAACCTCATCTCTACAAAAAATACAAAAATTAGCTAGGTGTGATGACACCTACATGTAATGCCAGCTACTCCAGAGGCCGAGGTACAAGAATCACTTGAACCTGGGAAGGGAAGCTGAGATCGCATCACTGCACTCCAGCCTGGATGACAGAGAGAGAGAGACTGTCTCAAAAAAAAAAAAAAAAAAAAAGTAAATTTTATATATATATATAGAGAGAGAGAGAGGAGAGAGAGAGAGAGAGAGAGGAGAGAGAGAGAGAGAGAGAGAGAGAGAGAGAGAGAGAGAGAGAGAGAGAGAGAGAGAGAGAGAGAGAGAGAGACAGGGTCTTGCTCTGTCACCCTGGAGTATAGGTATATAATCATAGCTCTATGCTGCCTCAACCTCCTGAGCTCAACAATCCTCCTGCCTCAGCCTCCCGAGTAGCTGTAACTACAGGTGTGCACCACCACACCTAGCTAATTTTTTTATTTTGTATTTTTTGTAGAGACAGTGTCTTACTTTGTTACCCCCCAGACTTGTCTCAAACTTCTGGATTCAAGCAATCCTCCTGTCTCAGGCTCCCGAAGTGCTGGGATTACAGGTGTGAGTCATCACTCCCAGCCTGGTCAACTGTTTACAAGAATTCCAAAATAATTCAACAGGAGAAAAAAATCGTCTTAACAAGTGATACTGAAACAACTAGATATTCACATGCAAAAGTAAGAGTTGGACCTCTACCTTACACCATATACAAATATTAATTCAAAATGGATTAGAGACTCAAGTAAAAGCTAAAAGTGCAAAACCATTAGAAGAAAACACAGGGAAAAATCTTCATGACATTGATTTTACAACCCAAAATTGGATCTAGCAACGATTCCTTGGATATAACACCAAAAGCATAGGCAAAAAACTGAAAAACAGATGTTTTAGACTTCATCAAAATTGAAAACTTTTGTGCAAAGGACTATTGAGAGAGTGAAAAGGGGCTTGGCACAGCAGCTCACACTTTTAATCCCAACACTTTGGGAGACGGAGGTGAGCAGATTGCTTGAGCTCGGGAGTTCAAGACTACCCTGGCAACATGGTAAAACCCCATGTCTCTACCTACATACACACACACACACACACACACACACGAGTGAAAAGTGAAAAGGTAACCCAAAGAATGAGAAAATACATTTAAAAATGGACAGGGCTGGATGCAGTGTCTCATGCCTGTAATTTCAGCACTTGAGAAGGCTGAGGCAGGCAGATCACTTGAGGTGAGGAGTTTGAGGTCAGCCTGGCCAACATGGCGAAACCCCATCTCTACTAAAAATGCAAGACTTAGCCAGGTGTGATGGCACGCACCTGCAATCCCAGCTATCTAAGAGGCTGGGGCATGAGAATTGCTTGAACCAGGGAGGTGGAGGTTGCAGTAAACTGAGATCATGCCACTGCATTCCAGCCTGGGAAACAGAGAGAGACCCCCATCTCAAAAAAAAGGAAAAGGATCTGAGTAGACGTTTCTCTAAAGAAGATATACAAATAGTAAACACACGAAGAAATACTCAACATCCTCAGTTATTAGAGAAATACAAATCAAAACCACAATGAAGCTGCTCTGCCTATGGAGTAACTATTCTTTTACTTCTAAAAATAAACCAAACAAAAAGACACCACACACACAATGAGATGCCATTTCATAGCCATTAGGATAGCTATTTTATACATATACATATACACACACACACACATATACACATACACACATACTTGTAATTTTATTTGCTGTGTGTATACACACACACAGAGAAAATTAAATTACAAGTGCTGGCTATGAGGTGGAGAAATTGGAATACTTGTAAATTGCTGGTAGAAATGTAAAATGCTATGGCCACAAAGAATTACCCTGTGATCCTGCTGTTCCATTTCTAGGAATAGATCCAAATGAATTGAAAGCAGAGATTCTAACAGATATTTGTAAACCAATGTTCATAGCAGCATTATTCACAATAGCTAAAAGGTAGAAACAATTGAAGCATCCACTGATAGATGAACAAAATGTGATAGGAGTACAATGGATTATTCAGCCTTAATGAGGAAAGAAAATCTGATATATGCTACAACATGAACGAGCCTTGAAAACATCATGCTAAGTGAAATCAGACAGACACAAAAGAACAGATATTGAATGATTCACTTATAGGAAGTACCTAGAACAAGCAAATTTGTAGAGATATAACAGAATAGTGGTTACCAAGGACAGCAAGGAGAAAAGTGATTTTTTTTTGAGACAAGGTCTCACTCTGCCACTGAGGCTGTAGTTGGAGTGCAGTGGTGCAATCATAACTCACTGCAGCCTTGACCTCCAAGGCTCAAGTAATCCTCCTGCCTCAGCCTCCTGAGTACATGGAACTACAGGCTCATGACATTATGCCCAGCTAATATTTGTATTTTTTGTGGAGATGGAGTTTTGCAATGTTGCCCAGGCTGGGATTTTTTTTAAATGAGTAACACTGCAGAACCCTGTCTGTTGCCCAGGCTGGGATTTTTTTTTTTTTTAACTCTACATGGGAAGAATTTCAGATTGGGATGATGAAAACGTTTGAGATAGTAGTGATGGTCGGAAATCAACGTGAATGTACTTAATGCCACTGACTTGTACACTTAAAAAATACTTAAAATAGTAAAATGTTATATATATTACAATAAAGTAACAAAAAGGCAGCCCACAGAATGAGAGAAAGTATTTGAAAATTGTATAAGAAACTTGTATCTAGAATATATGAATAACTCTTACAACTCAATAAACATGCAACCAATTAGAAAATGGGCAAATGATCTTAATAGAGATTTCTTCAAAAAAGATACACAAATGGCTAATAAGCAAATGAAGAGATGCTCAACATCATCAGTTATCAAGAGAATGCAAATCAAAACCACAATGAGATACCATTTCACACCCACTTGGATGGTCAGAAAAGTCAGTTAAGTTCATCACACATTGTATGCTTATATCGAAGTATCACATGTGCCTATAAATATGTACAACTACTATATACCCATAGAAAATAAAAATAAAAACATCTCCCAAAGTCAGGTGAGTGTTGAAAGGATGAGAAATCAGAACTCTCGTACACTGTTGGTGGGAATGTAAAATGGTGTGGCTGGTTTGGAAAAAAATCTAGCAGTTCTTCAAATGACTAAATGTAGTTAACATATGACCTAGCAATTCCACTCTTAGGTATGTACTCCAAAGAAATAAAACTTCTACATGAATTTTATCAGCATTATTTGTAATAGCTAAAACATGGAAACAGCCCAAATGTCCATCAACAAATGGATAAACAAAATTTGGTATAGCCATACCACTATAGCCACTAGAAAGTACTGATACATGCTACAATACAAATGAATGTTGAAAACATGCTAAATGAAAGGAGCCAGCCTATTGTATGACTCCATTCATATGAAGGTCCTGAATCAGGAAACCTATTAACAGGTCAGTAGTTGCTTAGGGCGGGAGTGGGGCAGGATGGGAAACAGGGGAGTACTAGCTAAAGGGTCTAAGGTTTCTTTTTGAGGTGATAAACATGTTCTAAAACTGATGATGGTGATGGTGTCCCATGTTTATGAATATACTATAAGCCATTGAATTGTACACTTGAAATGGGTAAATTATATGGTATGTGCATATTTAATGAAGCTAAAAATAGCACCAAGAAAAGATCATTTACAAGAATGAAAAGTACTTATCACATCTAGGAGTTTGGGTTTATACATCAAGGTTTTAGAAACTCAAACACAAAATCACCATATCAAACCTACCTCTGTGCCTCCAGGGCACTCTCAAAACAGATGTATTGAAACTTACATAAAAACCCTAGCATCCACATAAGACCAGTCAGTAATATAACCAGTCACTACTGCAAACTTAACAGTTTTAAACGCAGCTAGAAAAAAATCTGTGGGGCTGGTGTGGAGGGAGCTAAGGAAATCAGCAAAAACCAAACCAAAAGACATAAAACCTTCCCTGGCTTCCTTTCATAAGGTCAGAGGTTTTAAATACATAAAGAAAAAAATACATTACAAAGTCTTGTATATAGGTTTTCTTAGGAAAATATGCAAGGCAATTTCCTTTAAATGAATGGGACAAATGTTATTTTGCTCTGTGTGACTTGATCAATTTATGTATTCCAGTTAACAAGAAGAATTAGTATATTGTTCACCAATCACACTAAAGCAACAGAAATGGGTTAAACTGCCTACTCTCTAGTCCTATTGAGTCTCACTTCATGAGGATTCAGGTGAAGTTAGGCTCTCTTTCACCCGGAAAAAGGATCAAAAGTTGACCTATGGCCAGTTTTTAGACACTTCCTCTCGCCCTCAAAAGATCACTTAAAAGCAATCTTTAATAAAACACACAAAAAATTTATGCCATTGACAGAAATTTATTTTTCGATTAAGACTACAATCTGAATTGCCTATTTATAGTGCAAGTCCATCCAGGATTTATGCTAAATAAGGTTTTTTTCCCTATCAAGAAACAGACTCCTATGAAAAAATAGCTCAAGGAAAAAAATGTAAAGTTCTCCACAATAATTATATTTCATTTAAATTTGGAAATAAAAAAGGCTCTGAAGCAACAATTGATGTTATCCCGTTATCCTGATAGATGCCATGTAAGGTACTAATCTACACAGGCTCCTCTTTATATAACATACGCTGCATTTTATTGAGACTTAACATATGAAGCTTTCTCTTGAAGGCACAGATACTTTGCCAAACAGGCTCAAGGTTTTAAGAGGACCATTTGTTAACGACAGGTACACTTTGTAGCTATCATATCTTCATACTCTTTATAGGCAATTGAGCCATCAGGCTCAATAGTCAACACACTCAGGGGGCTGTATTTGGCAGGTACACATGATGGTCTTGGCACTGAGGAGTCCAGCTTCTCATAGATGATGTTCTGCACCATGGTGTGAACTGGAGAGCCATACCGATGTCCAACTGCCCTTGGACAGTCCCCTTTACAGTATCGAGGGTTGTATCTGTGCGGAGCCACAATCCAGTTGTCCCACTTCAGCTGACTAAAGCTAAGTCTAAAGTCATGGAGCTCACACTCATTTTGGGGAAAAAGAAACTGTTTGAAGTACTCACTCAGATTGAGGGCAGCTGGGACCAGGGGCTTCTTCAATTTAGAGCTGACAGTTTCCTGACCTCTGCGGTGACGGTGATGGGAAGTTCTCCCAACCTCAGCAGCCTCTTCTCCCACAGGATAGGCAGACAGACTTCTCTCCTGGTCAGGACACTGGGAAGGCCTCCTTTTATAGTGAAGGGAATACCACCTGTGATAAGCCTGAGCGCTTGTGTCATTCAAATATAAGATGAGTGAGGGGGGCACCACAAGAGTCATGTTAAACAAACCATTCTGTGCCAAAGGATGCTGCAGCTGGTCTTTCATGCATGTAAAATTTACAGACATGTGAACACTTCTCTTGTTGGAGGCCACTAAAGGTTGAAGGAGGCTAGTCACATCAATCTCAATCCACTTGTGTTTCTTTCCAAGTTCAAACTGTGAGTTAAAGGTAAATGAGTATGGACCTCTGGGGAGTGTCTTGCTAGAAAACTTTGGTTCCTTCATCATCAGGTTGCACATACATTTGATAGCAGAGGAAAAAGAAACTGAGTCACTGATAGCGTACAGCAAGACTGACTTGAGTAAGTGTTCAACGGTAGTAATGCGATCCAGGTTAAATAGCAGGTCCACTGATGGAAGGATTCCTGAGAAGAAAAACAATCGAGTAGTAGTGCTTGAATACGAGTCAACATACATAACAGGCAGTCAAGTCAAGGAATCAGTACTTTGTAATATGCTTTCTCCCTTCTTTTTTCTGCTTTCTCAAGACTCAAAAAAGAGAATGGGGCTAATATAGAAAAGGAAGGCAACTGGTACCATTACTAATTCCCAGCAACCATACTGGACATTTTATCTCTAGAAAGTCAGATTTGGTGGTGAGTTAAAGTAACAGGGAATCAACTACATTCTGAGGTTTCATTTTTATTTTTTTCAAGACAGGGTCTCACTCTGTCACCCAGGCTGGAGTTAGTGGCACCATCACGGCCACTGCGCTCTCAACCTTCCAGGCTCAACTGATCCTCCCACCTTAGCCTCCCAAGTAGTTGGGCCTACAGGTGTGAGCCACCACGCCCAGCTAATTTTTTGTTTTTGTAGAGACAAGGTCTTGCCATGTTGCCCAGGCTGTGCCAACTTCTGGGCTCAGGTGATCCTCCTGCCTTAACCTCCCAAAGTGCTAGAAGCACAGGCATGAGCCATTGTGCTCAGTCTGAAGTTTCATTCTGAATAATTTGCTCCAAACACAGAAGCAGCTGATAAGGAAAGTAGTATTTTTCTCTTGGATCGTCTCTAGAGGGCACACCATAATAAAAACACTTATCAGACTTATTAAGATAACATTCTAAGCCTTAGTGAAGAAAGTCAATTTACAAGGTAATTGTCCGAGTTAATTTAGAACACTTGAGATTAAAAACAGATGCTCTAAAACCACTATATTAAAATAGGATATTAGGGAAGGAAAAAGGGTTTTTTGTTTGGAGACAGAGTCTCGCTCTGTCACCCAGGCTAGGGTGCAATGGTGCAATCTCGGCTCACTGCAACCTCCGCCTCCCAGGTTCAAGCCATTCTCCTTCCTCAGCTTCCCAAGCAGCTGGGACTATAGGAATGCACCAGCACGCCCAGCTAATTTTTTGTATTTTTAGTAGAGACGGGGTTTCACCATGTTGGCCAAGCTGGTCTCGAACTCCTGACCTCAAGTGATTCGTCCGCCTCAGCCTAGCAAAGTGCTGGAATTACAAGCTTGAGCCACTGTGCCTGGCCTAGGAGAAAGGATTTTAAGCAGACACAACTGCCCTGTTGGGTTCCAATGATTTTAAATCAAGAGCTGGTTGCTGGGCTCAATAGCTCACATTTGTAATCCCAGCACTTTAGGAGGCAGGTGGATCACCTGAGGTCAGGAGTTCAAGGACAGCCTGATTAATATGGTGAAACCCCATCTCTACTAAAAATACAAAAATTAGCTGGGCATGGTGCCGTGCACCTATAGTCCCGGCTACTCAGGAGGCTGAGGCAGGAGAATCACTTGAACCTGGGAGGCGGAGGTTGCAATGAGCGGAGATTGCACCACTGCACTCTAGCCTGGGCCACAGAGAGACACTCAGTCTCAGAAGAAAAAAAAAAAAAAGCTGGTAAATATGTTCTTTTTTTAAAGCACCACACCCAACTGCTGAGTCAAACTGTGGACTAATATTTTGTTCCTGTAAGGGCTGACTGTTCCAAATGGGGACTTAAGATTTTCTCTCAAAGAAAGTAACAATGAAAAAATATCCTATTTAACATGCACACCAATAGCTGTAAGAGATGTTTAAAGCCCATTTCCGGGCCAAAAGCTTAGTGGTATAGAAAGAGATGCTACTATTCTCTAGCAGCATTTCCCTTCAGCCTTGAAAGCCATTAAGTCTCCGGTGTCACTTTAAAATTCCATCATGTAAGCCCACCTTAACGAAGGAGAGCATTAGGAACAAACAATAAGCTCAAATCCCAGATTTGTTTCAGTTGGATACTGAGTTTTATGGAAAATAAAATGCAATTCAAGGAGCTAGACTCAGCTCCTTTCTGTAACTGAAATGCAGAAGTGTTTATCATCCTCCCTCCATCCAGTTAACCAATCTGCTTTTACACACCTGTTACCTGGTCTCCAGGAGCCTGCTTGTGCTGGGTACAGGGGGTGAAGAGCCGAATAGTGTTGTAGAGGTGACTTCTATTGGATTTAGGAATCCCTTCCTTCGTAGCATATGTGTTATAGAGCTTCTTCATGTAGTGCAAAGCTCTGGAGTCTGGCTGCAGCCTAGGTGCCCCACCTCGCCCACCAGAGAGAACTTTGAAAAGCGGGGGAAGGAGGCCAGCTCTGTCTCTCTCCTCTATAGGCTGCAGCAAGGACCAAGGCTTAGCCTCAGATGCCAACTCAGCACTAGCAGCAATCTGAGCGTCTCCCCTAGAAGCCTGAGAACCAACACTAATAGGAAAACATAGCCAGGCAAAGCAGCAAAACCAAAGGAGTAATTTGCTGGGAAGCGCCATGGCTTGGGAGAACTAGCGAGGAACATATTTCTCCATGCCAGTCCTCTTCCTAAAAGCCAGGAAGAGCCTAGCTTGGTTTCTTAAATAAATTTTAGGTGTGTGGGTGGAAGAGCATCACCTCTGTAATCAGGCCTCAAGTATGCCTAGCTGAAGATGATTTTTATCAGCTCTATATCAAGCAGCTGATAACACCTTATTCAGCCAATCTATTCACCAGCTAGAGATTGGTTATTTAGATTTCCTCCCTTTTCCCCTGCCATTTACTTAAAACCTGTCATTGTTATAGTACTGGGCTAGCTACTAAGCTGAAAGTCCAAGATAAATTGAGGAATTATCTTAAATCTCTCAATTTTTGAGAAATCTGGATTCCTAAAATGTTTGTTAGGTGATTGCTGAAACTTCTGAGGCATGTGGAAAAGCTAACCAATTATTCATGATGATACTCAGATCTGTTGCTATGCAACGAACTTATGGTATTAGCTTTACTCTTCCTCTTAATTTATCCCCACTGCCTCTTCCACTTCCAGGTGTTTACAATATGTAATTATTCACTGCATGTTAATTTGAGGGGTGAGAAAGTCACAATTGGCATAGAAGTTCCCAGTAGTCCCAGGTGGCTGGGTACAGAATATGTACTTGGAGTATTGCAATTGTATTTGCAATGTTCCTAAAAGAGAAGGACATTGCCTTTAATCTTGATTTATTTTTAAATATAACATCTTGATGTCCTTACTTTGGTCTACACACTCATTTATATGTATTTTGGTTGAAAGGTTTTGGGATGTTTGCAGATGCTATAAAATAAATGTTTTATTTTTTTATTATTCATCCAAATGGTGGTAGAATTCGCTATAGCATTTCTGTCCTTATCTGTATTTCTGTTCTTGCCTTGGAGCTGAGACCAGGCTAGACATTATGGCTTAGAAAAATGAGGCAAAGGAGCACCACAAAAAGCTGAAATGAGGGGATATTCAGCGCCACCCCGAAGGAGAGACTGCTGGAAGAAAGTCAACTCACACCCATAGTACAAGATACAAAGCCAGTCTGTGCAGTAGCTAGATTGAGAAAACTAAGGTATGTATGCAAAATACAAGTTGACTGCCTGCTGAGCCTCCGTGGTCCGTAAGCAGTGTTATAAAACACACTCATGGCCGGGAGCGGTGGCTCAAGCCTGTAATCCCAGCACTTTGGGAGGCCGAGGCGGGTGGATCGCGAGGTCCAGAGATCGAGACCAACCTGGTCAACATGGTGAAACCCCGTCTCTACTAAAAATACAAAACATTAGCTGGGCATGGTGGCGCGTGCCTGTAATCCCAGCTACTCAGGAGGCTGAGGCAGGAGAATTGCCTGAATCCAGGAGGCGGAGGTTGCGGTGAGCCAAGATCGCGCCATTGCACTCCAGCCTGGGTAACAAGAGTGAAACTCCGTCTCAAAATAAATAAATAAATAAATAAATAAATAAATAAATAAATAAATAAAAATAAAACACACTCATCTGTTGATTGTTTGGTCCTAGATTATATATGGCCAGCAGTTCCACTAACAAAACACTGACAGCCGGCGCGTGGTGAGCTGCACAGGACAACAGCATCGTTAAGTAGAATGCACTTCAGGGAAAACACAAGAAGGCCTCTCACTCGACATTCCTTGCTTCTCATGTGGGGATAGGAAAGAACTGGGGCATGGTGATACCCCCCACCCCACGCAAACCATCTTGGGAGGAGGCTGGCTGCTGTCGACGCAGCCTCAGTGTTCATCAATTGCTTGATGATTATTTGATGATTTTTGTGGCTGAATTTCAAGAAACGTTTTTATTATCTCTTGGGACTGTTTACAGCCTGCCGGTGGACTCTAAAACAGAAGTTACCAAGAAAAGCCTTAGATGTATGTCCCTGATTTTGGTGCTGGGGTTGCTGGTGGCCTGAAAATAACGGAGCCCCCTTTGAGCTACTGGCCAAGACCAAAGTGGTCTGCTGCGGGGTGGCCTGGCCTCAAGACGCAGAGGCACTCTGTCCACAGCCGGGAGTACTCGGAGGCCCCAAGCTCCTGGCCAGCGCGGCCCCCGAAGTCGACAGGCCCCTTCCTTGTCACTTCTTTGTCCCCTCACCCGCCTCCCGCATTCGACCGCTTCCTGATTGGACTCCACAGAAAGGCCGACGGCTGAGGAGAAGTATGAGCGCCTCCGCCTGTCCACTGCTTCCCAAAGCCCGCTCAATCCCCGACGTCCTCCGCTAGGCTCCAAGCCACAGGCCCAGGGAGGGCCTCCAAGGTACCACCCACCTACGGGTCACCCAGTCAGGACACTTCTTTCTGGGACAGAGGCGTCACCCCCTAGAGACAGCAGGAAAATGGTATCTCCCAGAAGTGACCTCACGTCCTCCAAGAGCGGCTTCCGATCTTACCGGAAATGACGAACGAGTCCACCGGATCGGTGACTACGGAGGGGTCGGTGACTCCAGTGAGTGAGTGGCGTTTGGTTGTGCTGTTAGTGTACCGTGGGGGACTCTCTGGGCTGGGGAAGGATAAGGATTGCAGGGGCAGGCGTCTGGGGTTGGGGACAGATCCCCGCGGGGACTGCGGCGCTTCGCGAAAGCGAGCCAAGCGCCCGTCCGCCCTCGGTCCTGCAGGGCCGCCGCCACCATGGGTCGCGAATTTGGGAATCTGACGCGGATGCGGCATGTGATCTCCTACAGCTTGTCACCTTTCGAGCAGCGCGCCTTCCCGCACGTCTTCTCTAAAGGAGTCCCCAACGTGGTGCGCCGCACTCGGGAGTCTTTCCTTCGCGTGGTGCCGCGTGAGTGCCCAGGGCCCGCGGGGGCGGGAGGCTGGATTCCAGCAGCAGCAGTAGCAGCAGTCACTGCGGCTCCCCTATGAGCGGGGGCGGTCGGGCAGGCGCTCTGTAACTTGCAGTACACACCTTTCTCGTTGAATATTCGTGACCGCCCTTAAGCTGGTCATACTATCCTCCCCATCTTAACACGGGGAAAACAGTTACAGAACTGAAATGACTGGCTCAGGGTCACTCCGTCACTCGAGTGATTCCAGCATGTTCCTCGGAGGTCATCTTTATCCAGTTCTTAACAGTGGTGAAATGCTTTGTAAAACATGCCGCAGATAGTGATGATAGTTGCACGGCCTTGGATATGCTAAGAACTACTGAAGTGTATACCTTAAGAGGACTAAGACCTTTTTTTTCTTCTTTGTGTCTTATATGTGTGCTCTCTTGGTTTTTAAAGCGTTTATAGCGTTTTATCTTCTCTACACATGGGGGACTGAAGAGTTTGAGCGATCCAAGAGGAAGAATCCAGCTGACTATGAAAATGACAAATGAGCCACGCATCCGAATGACAGTTCCCTGACTCTTAAAAGACCTTTCTCTGGAAGAGGAGTCTGCATTGTAGTCTCTTAAAGACACAGTAAACTTCCTATGGTCTGCATTGTTGTGATTTTACCTTTTTGTGAACAGAATCCTGTGTGACCCCTAATATTCAAGTTCATGAAGCTCCCCTCTTCAGCATGAGTCTTGGAAGTTTTTACCTGGTCTAGGGTTTTAGTGAAGGAGCAGGGCTCGCCTTTTGTTCCATAATCTACAAGAAAGTAGCTGCAGCTAACCATTTGTGGGGAACATGGGCTATGGGGAGTGCTGGTTCTAGGTCCTCTGCTGCCATAACAATAAAGTCTAGTAACTATATTGTAATTACTATATTTCAGGTACACTTTTTTTTTTTGAGAGGGAGTTTCACTCTTCTTGCCCAGGGTGAAGTGCAATAGCGTGACCTTGGCTCACTGCAACCTCTGACTCCAGGGTTCAAGCTTTTCTCCTGCCTCAGCCTCCTGAGTAGCTGGGATTACAGGCATGTGCCACCACACCTGGCTAATTTTTTGTATTTTTAGTAGAGGAGGGGTTTCTCCATGTTGGTCAAGCTGGTCTCGAACTCCTGACCTCAGGTGGTCCTTCCGCCTCAGCCTCCCAAAGTCCTGGGATGACAGGCGTGAGCCACTGTGCCTGGCGTTTTTTTTTTTTTTTTTTTTAAATAGAGTCTTGCACTGTCACCCAGGCTGGAGTGCAGTGGTGCAATCCCTGCTCACTGTCACCTCTGCCTCCTGGGTTCCAGCAATTCTCTTGCCTCAGCCTCCCAAGTAACTGGGATTATAGGTGCAGGCCACCACACCTGGCTAATTTTTTTGTATTTTTAGTAGAGACAGTTTCACCATGTTGGCCAGGCTGGTCTGGAACACCTGTCCTTGGGTGATCTGCCTACCTCAGCGTTGCAAAGTGCTGGGATTACAGGCGTGAGCCATTGCAAGCCCAGCTTCGAATACTCTTCTTATCCACACAAATGAACTGTGAAACCTCACAAGCACCCTTAATGTATCATCCTTCTTTTGCAGATGAGGGAGTCACAGGGATTTAGTTATTTGCCAGAAAGTATATAGCAGTGAATGGTGGAGTCTTGCACTAAAGTGATGTTCTTAAAGCTATGCTTTAATTCTGGGGTGTCCGATCTTTTGGCATCCCTGAGTCACACACAAAATACACTATGATAGTTGATGAGCTTTAAAAAAATTACGAAAACTCAGTGTTTTAAGAAAACTCAATTTTTGTTGGGTCAGATGCTGCCCACGACTGCAGGTTGGACAAGCTTGCTCTACTCCCTTTCCTCCTAAGGCAGGCCTTAGCGTGAGGGGATGCCAGCTACAAAATGGATGAGGTGATCTCTTGGCCTCCACAGAAGTTTTCTGTTTCTGTGCCAGGGAGCCAACAATGTTTTAAACCATATGTGGTTCATAAAGCCTCAAATATGTACTCTGGCTCTTTATGAAAAAAAGTAAACCCCTGCTCTAGAGCGCTTACATTCTTTTTTTTTTTTTTGGTAGAAAAGGTACCATTTTCTCTTTGCCCACCAGGAGATGGTGGGGGTAGATGTGGTTGGCAGTTTTATGCCTCTAGTCCCTCAGAGAGGCTTCTCTAAGCCTGGGGGCACGGATCTCACCTGGGGTAGTGGTTATGTGGAATAAGGTGAGTTGTCTTAGCTCAGTCAGTACAGTACATAATATGAGATCTGAGATGTTTACAGAAACTCTTCTAAGGACACTTTTGCCAGCAGCAACTTTTATTCTGGCTCAGACTATATCTTTATTATCCTAATTACTGCTATTGCCTTTTAACAATCAAAAGGTACTTCAAAATATGGCTGGATTAGGTGGCTCATGCCTGTAATTCCAACACTTTGAGAGGCTGAAGTGGGTGGATCACTTGTGGTCAGGAGTTTGAGACCAGCCTGGCCAACATGGTGAAACCCCATCTCTCTCCTAAAAATAGAAAAATTAGCTGAGTGTAGTGGTTCACACTTGTAATCCCAGCTACTCAGGAGGCTAAGGCACAATTGCTTGAACCCAGGTGGTGGAGGTTTCAGTGAGCAGAGATTGTGCCACTGCACTCCAGCTTGGGTGGCAGAGCGAGACTTCAAATAAAACCTTAAAGATAAACTACATTGTGAGGCAGGATATGGGGAGAAGTTTGAGTCTTGGGCTCATCTTCTTAGCCCATCACTTCCTCATTGTGTGATATAGGCAAGAAACCTGCCTTCATGAGCCTAAGTTTCTCGCCCATAAAATGGAACTATTAATATAAATTTCTTGGGTTGTGGTGATGGTGAAATGAATGACAAATGTCTGGCAAGGTGGTACAGGGTTAACACAGGACAACTAACTGAGTAACTCTTCCACCCCCAAAAGACGGTCCAATTTTCCCATGTCTCTCAGTCCAGGTTTATTCCCAGGTCTTGCAACATACTTGGGTCACAGACTAAGGAAACTGTGGACCCGTACTTACCTTGCATAGCTTCAAAAAGTTCACAGTCCAGGAAAGGACCACTGCTTTGAGAGGCCGTTAATGTCTTTCACCCCGTGATGTTCGCCCCAAGCCTCCAAAGTAGATAGCCACCCTCTCCCATCTTGCTTGCCTTCTTCTACACTTAGACTATTTCTCCCTGGTTCTTTGACTCCTTTGGAGAGACCAGCTCAAAAGATCCAAACCCCTTTTCTCAGCCCAAACCAGGCACTGAGCCCGTTTTTTATTCCAGGAGTGCACTATTGAGATGACTCTGCTGTTAGCCCTGTGATGTGCGGAGCTTCTGCTTTACAAGAAATTAATCTGCTTTAAGCCTATGTCTCATCAAGGGGGTTCCCTCTCTAAGTTTGGGGGCGTGGATCTCACCTGTGTGGCGGGTGTGCTGAAGTAGTAGGTGTGTGGAAAGTGGTGAGTTTTAGCAGCTTAGTGCTCCTATACATCATCTGGAATCATTTTGGGGACATTCTATTTGAAGAAATCCTCAGCGGAGGAGCTGAGTAAAGCCTTTTTAAGAGAGGACAGCTGCTGTGGGCTTCAGTGCCGGCAGCCCATCCAGAGCCTCCAGCCCTGGGTGTTGAGCCTTTACTTGCTACTCTGGCACAACCACTTGCTCCATTTAACCTTTCTTTCTCCAAATGTTCCTGCCCCCACAAGTGCTTTTATCTGTGGGCTGCAGAGTCTGGTGAAAGGAATGCCCTTGCTCTTTTAGTTTGCCAACAGTCCTCAAAATGCAGGCCTAGAGTAGGCCCAAAAGTCTATGCCAGTTCCAGCCAGCTAAAAAGCAAATACACTTTGACCCATTGTTGAAATTTTACCTGGAAAGTGTTTCCATTTCAGGGTCTTTCATCTTTTATTAGGTACCTTCTGCTTAGAGACAGCAAAAAAAAGTTTCCAATTACTGCCAACTCCTACTGATTGACCTGGAATGTGTTTCAGGCAGCTGCTCATGTATCCATACCCTCTTTCTCCCATTTCATCCTAGGCATTTGCCTCAGAAGCATACAATCTCTGAAGAGTTGTATCCAGAGTTACCAAGCTCTCAGCTACCAAATCTGCTTCTCTCATTTTCTTCTTGTAAATTAATCGTTTGAACCCCCAAAGTGAAAGAACAGGACACTAAAGCCCAAAGACGGGAAGGGCTGGCCTATGGGCAATTGCACTCTCGACCCCAGGCTACTGCTTCCCAGCCAAGTATTCTATCTTCTCATGGCTGAAACTGTTAAAGCCTACTTAGGCCTTCCTATGGGAGGAAGGTGCATATAGTTATGTGTATATTCGCTGAGCAAAATAATTGATTGTAGAGTCCATGATCTTTCTTTTTTTTTTAAATTTCAAGAGGAGGCCTTCACAGTCTCTCAAGTATGGGATGGCTGTGGACGAATGCTGTCAATTCAGCTAAGTGCTGCCTGGATGTTGCTTTGTGTTTGATTTTTGCTCCATACTTAACTAAAACAACTACAGAGTTCATGTATGATACATGTTGAAATACATTCCCCTTCCCCAACAGTGGTTCCTTCCACAGACAGTAACTAATGGTTTCTTTTGGCGAGAGGGCGGTATACAACATAGAGGCTTGAACCAAACGCCTCTGCAGTGTTGCCACACTCGTGAGGATGAATAGTCTTTTTCCCCCTACACACAGAGCAAAGGGCTTTAAGCTCTTTCCTTGACGGTGTTGTCGGCTTTAGAAATTAACACAACAGGCTAGTTTGATCCTGTTTGACGTACAGGAAGGCAGAAATGGAGAATTAGAAGAATTACTCATCTTTTGGATGAGCAGTTTCCAAATCCCATTTGGCACGTCACTCTAGACTGGTGAAGGGGAGGCTGGCACTGAGTCCACAGACCCAACTGACTCTAGGACATCACGTTGTTCAGTCTTTTCCTTATCTAATCACATTTGTGTTCTTACCCAATGTTCGTTAGGTCAGCACATAGCCACTTCCTCACCCTACAAAAGTTCCCAGTTAGGCCCCTAGCTGGGATCATCCAGTATCCAAGCTCAGGGATGAAGGGAGGGAGCAGCTAACTAGTCCTAACTGGTTAGTTGGTATATAGGTCTTTTCTCAATGTTCCTAACGTGCAAACAGTGACATCCCTGTCAAGGCTTGGCTCCATGATTCTGAGAGGACTAAAACCAGGACAGTAAGATCTGTGGTCACATCCTGCCCAATTCCAGCTTGGAGGTCCATCAAACCATCTGCTTCTCCCTTGGCAAGAAGCTCCATCTACCTGATAGCAGAGTCAGTGGCCATCCTTTTCTACCTTCAGCTACTGTGCATCTCCTCTTTTTCTTGGGGTAAAGGAACAAGCAGATTCTTATCCAAATACCCAACCTATGAAGATGAGAAAGGCCTTGGGAAGAGGTATTAGCCAAGTTTTCAATGCGATGCCTGGCAGATAGAATTTGTTGTATTTGTCTTAAGCTTATTATCCTCCCAGGTCATAGAAAGATCTAAAGTCCAATGAATCTCCTTACTCAGAATTCACACCTTTCCCCTCAAATTTAAAATGTCCATGCCATTTCACAAGTACCCATAACTACTCATGGTTTAGATACATGTCCTCCCTTTGTCTCAGTAGAGCACTTCGTCTAGAAATTGGCAGCAGTTCCTACTTAAAATGATGAATGCTTTGGGCTTCGGAGACATCTCATCCCTATGCCTGCTGCCCTGAAGCAGCCAGAAGGAAAGGCCTCCCTCAACTACTGGAAAGAAAGCCCATAATTCAAGGCTTTTAATATAGTCACTACACAAGTTCTCCCTCTGATTTAGGGGATCTTGTTACCTCCTCGTCTACATGTGCTTAAAAACCAAAAAGAAATGTATAATTATTCAATTCACCTGTGGTCCAGATAAGTCTCACATCCAGCAATTACCCTGAGAGGGCAGGAAGCCAGACTTTCAACTTTCCACAGCTAGGTCTTCATTCTACTAGTGAGATGAACTGGTGCAGATTAGGGTGATAGTTCATCTAAGCAAGTGGAGGAGCTGGGGGACTGTAGACCTTCCTGAAGCATCCTCCCATAGAAGGGAGATAAGGGCTTTATCCTAATTGCCTGTACACAACAGATCGGTACTTCTTTCCTAGACAAGGCTGAAAGGGGTCAACATTATTTCTGAAGACTTCATTATTGGAATTCTATTTTTATTGGGAGTGATCTCACTGAGCTATTTTGGAATAGAAATATGGCTGGTTGCCTGATCTCCCTCAATGGTTTCACGTGGCTTTCAAAGGGAAGGAGGGGCAGTGCTGACTTTTGGTAAAATGGGCGAAAGGGTCCATGCCAGCAACACAATCACTCAAAGTCCAGATGAGGCATCAGTAAATACAATGTGCCTGAAAGGTGGCCCTTGGGCACATTCCTCTGGTAGACATTAACTTATTAAATTGATTCTGATTACAAATATAAACTTTGCCCCCATCTCACCTGGTAACAATGCAAGACTCAATGTGAGTCTATAAAAGGAAGTAGGAACTGTCCCTGGCTTTCAGGCTCCAACATCCTGCCTCTGTCAAGATGTGGCACCTCAAACTTTGTGCACTGCTCATGATCTTCCTGTTGCTGTTGGGCCAGGTAAGGAGGGACGGATATGTATGTGTATGTGTGGAGTGTGAAGATGACAGTAGTGGTGGAACCGTAAGTGGAACTTGAAAGCCAGACTCCATCCTGAGGAATGGTTCCTCTGTTCTGAGTCTACAGCATCTGGGGAATGATCATTCTTCCAAGGTGTGCGGCAGGGTGTCAACACTTCCATGTCTGGATGTCTTTGCTCTACAGATAAATGGCTCCCCAATACCAGAAGTGAGTTCAGCAAAGAGAAGGCCACAGAGAATGACCCCATTTTGGAGAGGGGTTTCCCTCAGGCCCATTGGAGCCTCCTGCCGGGATGATTCTGAGTGTATCACAAGGCTATGCAGGTACTCCAGGAACCTAGGAGCAGGGTTGGGCCAGAGAGCCCTGGGAAGCTGGGCAGAGGAGAGATGAGGGGAACATGAACCTAAGAATAAAGCTGGGCTGGAGGAGCTCTGGGCTGAGACTGGGAGCTCCATGGAAAATCCCTTAAGAGTTAGGAGCCAAGAACAGCTCCACATGGGTGACTTTCCATTCTTCAGTCTTCCTTGAGACTGAATAGATCAAGCAAAGAGGGAAATGCAGCAGAGTTAGTTCTGGTCACTCCTAGACTCAGTCTTAAAAACTGCCTTTTCTTTTCCCCTAGAAAACGACGTTGTTCCTTAAGTGTGGCCCAGGAATGAAGTACATACCAGGGGAAGAAAGGATAGCAGTCATCTCTGACAATGCTCCGTTCTATGGAATATTGATTAACTGCATTTTGGCTGGAGACATACAAGTGAAGCAATCTTGTATTTTTAATATTTAAAGGCAGATGTATGCTTTAAATTGGTCTCCATTTCTTCTTAGAATGTTGATATATGGATAAGCATAACTAAACTTGTCACTTTAGAGTTTATTTTTCTATGGATACTATTAAATGTCTCAAATTGAAATTTTAGCAGTCTGGAATTCAAGCTTTTGAGGGAAAGAAGGATTCACTTTGTATACTAGAGAAAAAAAGAGCACTGCGCAATAACTTGTAAACTTCTCGATCTGGAAAGTGTGGTGAGAGTTGACATTTTTTCAAGAATCTTATAAAGAACACAACAGTAGGTTAAAGGCAAAAGTTTAGCAATGGCTAAGTAATCAGCTTTGACAAGTTCCTAAGTTGTAGCCCTGGATCCCTTCACTCCATGGTAACTCTTCAGGGCGGTGTCAAAGAGAGTCAAGCTTGAGAGGCTGAGGCAGGAGAATCACTTGAACCTGGGAGGTGGAGGTTGCAGTGAGCCGAGATCACGCCACTGCACTCCAGCCTGGGTGACAGAGCGAGACTCTGTCTCAAAAAAAAAAAAAAAAGATGGTCAAGCTTGGCACTTGCCATCTAAGACAAATACCCAAGTTTGTCTATGACTGTCTGAATGTAAGGGAGAACAAAAAGAAAAATCTAGTTTAATAAAGCAATAAAAACCCAAGCCACCAGAAGCACCAAAAGGGATTTAAGATTTCTGCTGGGACAAGTTAAATTTTGACATAAGCACAACGATCCATGGCCAGCAAGTTCAGAATTTCTGTAATCAGAAAATGAGACCTCAGCTGGCAGGAATAGACTGTAATAATAGACCTGAAGACACAAAACACGAATTGCATGAAAAGGGCTAAGAGTTGAAAAAGTATAAAGAGCACAGTGTTCATTAACTTTTAATACAGAAAATCTATTTGATATTTATTAAACTTAGTTTCTCCAGCTATGGTTTGGCATTGTACAAAGCATCTTAATGACACAATAGAGTTAAAAAGATCTTTACAAATTGAAATGTGATACCCTTGTCTCCAAATATTTTAATTGCCATAAATTTGTTTAAAAATACACATTAAACGCATGTTTGACACTAAACTTTCTATACTCTCAATACCACAAAATACATATAATATACTATACAGATGTGGAAAAATCTAGTTAGTATATAATACTTTGCTCACCATTAACAGCTTTATCATGTGAAATGCACATACTGACTTAGAAATCCTAGCTTTTGAGCCCCAAAGTACCTTTGAAATTTTAATGTATTGCAACAAATAAAAATCACAGTATATAATTGAAATTTTGGTTGAAAATGTCAGATGCCTAAATATTTTGGATAAAAAAAATGTAAAACAAAGATCTGGATCATGTACAAAACAAAGGCATCCTATCAGTCACTAACAGTACCTTTCTGCAAAATCAACAGGCTTTTAATTTATCAGTGACATTACCACCCCTCCAAAACCCTCCCAAAATATCAAACAATTATTTACCAAATAATTTTAATTTCAAATAAAAGGATTTTCAATAAATATATAAGCATTTCCATCCTCCATATATAAAATTTCTTAAAACCATTCAAAACGGAGGTTAGATAGAAATTTTCATAACTGTGCTTACCAACCCCACAACTGGCCCTCAAAGATGGTGCCTTTGCAGGCAATGTCAACCGGGCCAGTTCTGTTGGTGAGCCCCCCACCCCCCACCCCACCCATCCCAGTACTGTTGAATGCTCATGTCAATGATTTGCCAGGTGTGTGCATAAAGTTGTAAAATGGGGACACTTCTGGAACAGCAACAACAAACTCAACAATATGGATAATCATGGCATTGATTTGAAAGGCAGCATTTCCAAATTGATATTTTCCAAAGAGGAACATAGCAGGTAGAGAATGCTAATGGTTAAAAGCTGAAAAGAAACCCCACATGGAAGCAGTAAGAAGTCAAAACTGAGTATTACTAGAACTTCTAGGTGGGAGTTTTTTTTTCCACGTTCATTTAGAGAGCTTTTTTTTATTTTTAAGAATGGCAAGTTATGCTTAGCTGAGTAACAGTGGCAAGGAGAGGTCAATGCTGACATTCCTGAAAGTCAACTTCTTTATATGATGACTACTTAGGCTGCTATTTTAAGATACTTAAAGATCTCTAAGACTTGGATTAGACTTAACTTGAATACCTTATTCTGTGACCAAATTACATGAAAAGAAGATGTATAGTTATTCTTTCCATTCCCTTTTCTGGAGACAGCAAGTTCTTTTTAATTAGCCTTAGGGTTCATGTGAATAGGAGCTTTGTAAGACCAGCATCCACTTTACTATTAATAATTTACTTTTCTTCGCTTGCTAACTTGGTTTTCAGGTCTAGAGGTCTATTTTATTTTATTTATTTTTTTGAGACAGAGTCTTGCTCTGTTGCCCAGGCTGGAGTGCAATGGCACAATCTCAGCTCACTGCTACCTCCACCTCCCAAGTGCAAGCAATTCTCCTGCCTTAGTCTCCCGAGTAGCTGGGACTATAGGCAAGTGTCACCATGCCCAGCTAATTTTTGTGTTTTTAGTAGAGACGGGGTTTCACCATGTTAGCCAGGATGGTCCTATCTCCTGACCTTGTGATCCACCAGCCTCAGCCTCTCAAAGTGCTGGGATTACGGGCATGAGCCACTGCACCCAGCCTAGAGGTCTAAAATGAATTTCTCCATTAGTGAGTATCTGAAAGACATGGTCACAAACATGAACAATTTGGCCTATTGTCACTACATATTCCAAGGCATTCAATAATGATCTCTTCTATTAATTTTACTGAATAGCAACCTTAGATGTGTAATATTATTACTGGAAAAAAGCCTGCCTCTTCAACACATTAATGCATAAAGTTGAAATAAAAGTTATGTTCCATGTATTAGGGGATATATTGGTATGATAGGTGTCTATATGGGTTTGAAATGCTCTGGCTCCCCAAGTTACTTAGGTTTTTTTTTTTAAAAAAAATCATCATCAAAAGCTGCCTAACAGTCATCCCCAGAAGATGTTCCTGGGACCCAGACACAAACTCCTATAAATCAAAATATATAATGAGGCCATACTGTTCAATTAGCAACTGGAAAATTAAAATCTTTCCCACCCTGTAAGAGCCCTATTACACTATAGAAGTGCTCAAATACGTTTTAAAAGTTAATTTACTACAAATCATAGTAATTAAGCTTTAACAATCTAAAGGAATACACATTGCACCCTCGAACATTAATATTCAAGGTGTCAACAAGAAAGTGTCTTAGATCAATTTAATAAATAATGTGGAAATAGTCGCACTAAGCTAAAATACTAAACACACACATTTTTGACAAACTAATTTCATGTTTTCATACATACATACATACATATATATAAAGTGTGTATGTGTACATAATTTTAAGATCCAAAGTTGCATACCCTTACACCTAGAAGAGTGCACAGTGTACCCTTCCTCTATATAACTAGGCATCACTGACTGGAACAATCACTGGCTGCTCTGAAACTCCACAGAGTACTGGCCTCCAGAGCCAGAACTTTCATTTATAACAGGTGCCTTTTGTAGGCTCTTGCTTCAGAATGCAAGCTCATTCATGAAAAAATGTACCAAAGTTTCTGTCATTAAATACAAAATGATGCTGTCTTATCTGGCTGATTAAATCTTTAATGAAAAGAAACGAACAACAATTTTTTAAAAACCAGTGAATCTAATAAAGCCACAAGTGTGCCGCTCAAAGTGCAGCCCAAGTGCCTATGAATCCACCACTTCGAGAGCTCCCAGAAACACAGGCATCTGTGGGTTTGTGCACATACTGCTCTAAATTGCTTTCACATTAGATAATTAAATCAATGGTGGTCAACCTTCTCCACTCTTCGGCAGCTACAGCTGTAAGTTTATCTGAAGTACTCACTGCGTATAAAGTCACTTGCCCAGAAAAAGTGAGGCAAGGAATGGGCTGGATGCTCTCTAACCAGACTGGAGCCTGGGCTGAGCTGTGGAAACTCCCCTGAAGGGAGATGTTCCCCATAGCCCAGCCCAGTCTGGCCCAGGCAAGACTACTGTGACAACTGCATCCACTTCAATTGGTTCGTTGGTTGCTTGTAAAGAGTCCAATGGTGTACAGGCTGCTGCCTCCTGGCATACAAGTGTGGTCATAAAGAGCAATCAACAGAGTAATTGTTAAAATAGTTATTTCTATAATTAACCACATGTTAAGTACAAGTCTCAGACTAAGTTTTTAGCCACTTGTCAAATTCAGTTTTAAATGGTTAGAAAACACTGAGGACACCTATTAAGGAGGGAGGAATGGTCACCTGTAAAGGAGTCCAAAGTATGTGCCGGAGAAGATGATGACAAAGACAGAACATCTAAGAAGACAGATATGAAGGAAAGGGAGTATTTCCACACACTATGACATTGAATAGTCAATCATTTACGATAGGATTTCGATTCATTGCCCATTACAACCTTCTGGGAAAAACCCTCCACAATGAAAAGGTTGAAAAAGTCATTCTCCAAAAATTAACACAGTTTTAAAGAGAAAATATTAGAGCAGCACCATAAACCATGCAGGAAACTCTGCTTTAACAAAATAATCAGTGTGACCCCAGAAATGCTCCTGCTGCCTTTCAGGACATACAAGAGACTAGAACACACTAGAACTTGGAGGTATCCCACTGGCTATTGTTGCTGAAAGTCTGAAAGCCCAGAGGATACTTTTTCCATTTCTAAGACAACACTGCGAGTTAAGGAATCGGAGTCAGAGAAGGACAAGACATACATGTACTTGATTAACAACCATTATTTCTTACTAAATAACTATAATGATCGCTGAGAAGTTGTCCTCTTATGGAAAACTGTTCCTAGAACACACTAAGATTAAGTTAGAAACATACCAGAGGCAATTTCTCCAAGGGAAACGTTAAATTCAACATAATTTGTACATCTCAATCTTCAATGATATCTAAAAAAAATCTGAGGTACAAAACAGTTAAGAAACTCTATAAATATGAGGCCACAAGGACAATGAAAGTTCACCTTCAGAACTAAGTATAAAAAAGACTCAAACTCAAAGGATTCACTGCACCACGGGACTTGAAGCTTTTCTATCCCTTTGTTCCCCTTTCCTATTTCAGGCCTTAGCAATCATCTACAAATAGTAGGATCATCTTTTTTTTCTGACTAGATAGATTCATTTTTGGAATGGGGAGGGAGACAAACTATTTTTCAAAGCAGCATTACCCAATTGGTCAGACTAAGTCATGTACCAAAGCAATAGCTTTTCTGAAAGAACTAATCTTTCTGTGACCCTAAAGAAAGATTTAAGATGAAACAGAATTTAACATTATTGTTGAAGAAGACCAATCATGTATGGACGATCTGGTCCTAGTGTAAAACTTCATTTGTAAACAATCCATAGTCTTCATTTAAAGGTAAGATTTAAGGCACACCAAACATGATAGGGGCATGAAAAATAAAGTACAGAGGGTACATTTCTTACCTTTGACTTCTATATGCACCTTGCAGCAGAAGGTACTTTGATACACAACTCTTACAGAGCCGGCTTCTTAAGCTCTACCCCTGGCCCCCTCCCTGTCCCGAGAGCTCACACTGAACAAGTTAGGTACACTTTTCTAGTGTGAAATTTTCTGATTCCATCAGAAACATACATCATTGAAGAGGGCCTTCATAATACAAAAGGAGTAAACATAAGATAGGTTTAAAAAGAAGAAATTCACCATCTCTACATCAGGCATTAGAACTGTAAGTTGTATAGCAAAAGCACACACCAAAGCTCCAGCCTATTTCTGTATCAGTCACTGCATGCTCATATCAGAGCATCACAATCCAGTATGAGGGGGAAAAATCTGAAAAATAACTCTAACCATCAAAGATTATCAAAGACACATAGGCAGCAACCCTCAGTACTTATTCTGCTTTGATTAAGTGTCAAATGATTAGCAATAAAAAAGAACATATGGTTTTAATAAAATCCATAAAGTTCAGGATTGTCCTTTATGAAAACCTTTAAAATGAAATGCTTCTTCTAGAAAGTTTGCCCACCCTCTTTTGTAATGCATTAAATGCAAGTTATAGTCACCTTGTGATTGCTGTAGTGTTATTAACACACATTCACAGTTTTTGAAATAATGCATACCAAATCAGACACAGTTCATATTACATACATGTAGAATGTCATTCTCTCATATTTAAGTGATTTTTCATGTATAGAAGAATATCCTTAATACTAACTGTAAATTCCACAATAATAAAACGAGAGTTATCATTTCAATTATCAGGTAGTAGGTATAGAAAGAATATGTCCTTATTTTAGATGAACCAATTCTTACTCTTAGAACAGCTACCACAAAAAGACATTAGGTAATAAAGCTCCCAAAGTATATAAATAAAAATGTCTACATTAAATTTATGCTAAATATTCAACAGAGTAAATTCATAGGCAGAAATAACTAAGTCTTAAACTAGCCCCAGTCTGGGAACTTAAAAAAATTAAAATAAATAAAATTTCAATTCATTAGTTATGAATTGCAACTGGAATTTCAATCTTATAGTTCATGGAAACCATCTTTTCAATGTGCTGCAGATTTAAAAGCATTTAAATAATTTTTCACATTGGAAATATTAAAGGGGCCAACTGACATGATGGCTTTGGATTATAAAAAACAACAACACATGAACCAACGAGGAGAAAACTATTCCTCATTCTTAGTGTCGACTAGGTGGTATGTATGTTATGGCAGTTTTCCTTTGTGATGTGACACAGTGTTGTGGAGAAAATCAGAGGCAACGAGAATGTGTTCAGTTCAAGATATCAACTTGGCATCCTGGCGAAGCCAGTGCAGTCCCTGCCGGGTGTAACGAACTAGATCTGTCATGATGCTTGCATTAAAGATGAGAGGACCCATTACTTTATCCAGTTCAGCAAAGAATTCTGGAAAACCAAAAATATTCATTAAATGATATATACTCCTTTGAATCACTGCTTTAAAATTTTGAGTAGAGATTATAAAACAGCATTCATATAAATTCAAAAAATACCTCCTCCCACACTAAAATAATTACTGTCCATGTTTCAGAGCAAATCATTCCACAATCTCTCAAGTTACAGTTGTTTCCTAGGTCATGCACATTTTAAACAGAATGTATGGTCAGAAATTAAGTGTTATACATATATGCAGGATTCCAGAAATGGAAATGATAAAGGGCTATTATGCAGTAAATATTATTAAAATGAAGACCTAGTGCCACAATGTACTACTGATTACACAAAACATTTTGTGTACTGTTTTTGTATAAGAAGCAAGTGATACAAAAAGGAAGATGTTCTTTGCATGTTTCCTGTAACAGCCTCTATGAGGTTAGACACTTAAGACTATCAAACTTTCAGCTAGAATCATATGCCATGAACCAACTGATAACTACCCTATGTTTTTATTCATTTATGTTGTTTTAAGAAGAAGTCTCCCTCTGTTGCCCAGGCTGGAGTGCAGTGGCGCAATCTTGGCTCACTGCAACCCCCGTCTCCTGGGTCCAAGCAATTCTCCTGCCTCAGCCAAATGTAAAATACAAAAAAATTTCGTATTTTTTTAGTAGAGATGGAGTTTCACCATGTTGGCCAGGCTGGTCTCTAACTCCTGACCTTGGGTGATCCACCCACTTTGGGCTCCCAAAGTGCTGAGACTATAAGCATGAGCCACAAATTGTATTTTTATAAATACAACTTTTGTTGTATGTTGGGATTCCCACCTGGGCAACATAATGAGAGCTTGTCTCTACAAAAAGTAGAAAAATTAGCTAGGTATGGTGGCACGCATCTGCAGTCCCAGCTACTCAAGAGGCTGAGGCAAGAGGATCACTTGAGCCCAAGTGGTAGAGGCTGCAGTGAGCTGTGACTGTGCCACTGCACTCCAGCCTGGGTGACAGAGTAAAACCTTGTCTCAAAAAAAAAAAAAAAAAAAAAAAAGTTGGGATTCCACTTTTACTTTTCTCTCACCATTACCTCTCTTATGGATAGGAATCTTTCATTTTCATCTGATTAACTGTTCATACTATAAGTATTTAAATGTACTCTGTGACAAAAGGACACTTGATTGACTGGCTAATATAGTGTTTCTCTGTAAAGGATCTGCCTAAAGAGAAGCTGCATGCACATATTTGTTAATAGCATCTACTAAAATAAAACGGTTTTTATACAGTACTTTCCACTAAGTTCTTCAAAGACTTTATAATTCTCAATATCCTTAGTTTGGGAAATAAGAAACTTTTAAGGGCAAAGCCTCAACCAACCTAATTTTAAAGAATGTTAAGAATTCTATTCATTTCTTAGTCTCCTTTATTTCATAGGTTTCTTCCACTAAACCTAAAAATCCAGTATGAATATGCTTTCTTATACATTAAACTTCTTAGATGTACAGATGTTTGGATGTAATCCTATGCCTACTGCCAAACTTACTGTTAATTATCATAGAGTAGGACATATATTTTATTACTTTTATGGTATGAGCTGCATTTAATGTGCCAGAATAGAGGCACACTTATCTTAGACCAAGAACTATTTTCAGTTTAATTTGTGTCACCAGAATCATGAGAGGTATTGTTTGACCAAATTCAGTTTCATTTAGTATAACTGCTAAGCAATTATTAACAAACAGATGATCATTAACTCTAAAGTAGGCAATAAAACTAAATATAGACTGAATACTTATTTAAATAAATTGTAACAGTTCCTTTTAACAATTCCATCCCTCTAAGTTATTCAGAAAGCCACCTACCTTTTTGCTCTTTGGAAAGTTGTTCAGCTTGGTCCCAAATTTCGGTGGCATAGAGGAAGTTGGATGTGACCTGAACATAGCTGGCTGCCATCTGGTGGATCTTCTGTGGAATGGTCACTGAAGAACCACTTGCAGAAGCACTACTGGCCCCAGATGAGTAATTTCCTGAATTGCCTGGTGACAGCTTTGGAGAAACAGGGGAAGGCATCCCCACAGCTTTGCTACACAACAGAAATAGGAAGCTTGTTCATATGGACATGGTAAGCATTATAAAATCAAGTACTACTAGCTCTTTCTACATGAAAGCATTAAAAATGTAAACATTCTTTTTTTTTTTTTTGGAGACAGAGTCTCGTTCTGTCGCCCAGGCTGGAGTGCAGTGGCACGATCTTGGCTCACTGCAACCTCCACCTCCTGGGTTCAAGCAATTTTCTGCCTCAACCTCCTGAGTAGGTGGGATTACAGGCGCCTGCCACCATGCCCAGCTAATTTTTTTTGTATTTTTAGTAGAGACAGGGTTTCACCATGTTAGCCATGATGGTCTCGATCTCCTGACCTCATGATCCACCCACCTTGGCCTCCTAAAGTGCTGGGATTACAGGTGTGAGCCATCACGCCCGGCCAACATTCTCTTAAACTAGAGGGGTTTGCAGAGAACTACAATTTCTTCTAAATAAGCAGTATAACCTTGCAATTCACAATCTTATTATGTTAGAATCTATACCCTTTGTTTTAATGAATGACAACAAAACAACAAGAGATGGAAGATAACTGAAGAAGTCATTTCAAAGACTTAAAAGCCAGATCCTCTTACTCTCTGCTCAACACTTTCCATCTATTCAGGAATATAATTACGTACTTTTCATACTGTTTTGTACAAACTTTGGTGGAATTCACATTTAACCTAAAAAACTGTGGTAGAAGATGGGAACATCTTTTATCGAACTCCATAATTTCTGACACTTTCCTAGTTTAACAAAATTATTCAGCTGACAAAGAGGTACAGCTCTCTCAAGCAACTGCAATCATCCAAGCTTCCTGCCAATTAAATATTTCTTAGAAAACAGGCAGGTTGAATTTTTCAAGGCAGGCTTGAAGTCTGGAAGGTTCATTTCAGGAATACTAAAATTTGTAAAATGTTCAAGACTATGATCACACACTGAAAGAAAGGAAAAGTCAAAAGTTGGGGAAAATCATAAATTTGTTTATATGATACTCATTTTTTGTACTTTTAGTAGAGACAAGGGTTTCACCATGTTGGCCTGGCTGGTCTCAAACTCCTGATCTTGTGATCTACCCGCCTCGACCTCTCAAAGTGCTGGGATTACAGGCGTAAGCCACCTCACCTGGCTTGTCTGTATTTTTATCTGCACTTTTAACATTATAAACTTATGTAAGAAAATACATACAGGCAAAGACAGAATGTCAATTCGTATAAACATAATAACTGAATAGATAAACAAAATAAAAAAGGTTCCATGGTGTTTTTCATCCTCTGAGAGATGGGTGAGATGAGAGTGATGTGGGGATGGAGGAGAAATCACAATCATGTCACTGTTACTAACTTCTGACAGTGCCAAGATTTGGCTAACGATAAGCCCACTGTGATAAGTCCAAGTAACTATGGAAATGAAACTGTGAAAAGGATTGTGTGCTAGTAAAAACTCAGATTTCTGCAGGTGAAATGTCTCATATCTAATCTTTATGATTATATTCATTCATATTTCCAATTCACAAAAAATACAGAGAAAAAATTCTAACTTCTAAAAATATTTTATCAGAGATGGTTTTACTTATTTAAAAAGTAATCATCTTTCCATTTTTTTAGAAATTGGACCATACTCATTTTACTTTTATTTATTTATTTATTTTTAAAAGACAGAGTTTCACCATGTTGGCCAAGCTGGTCTTGAACCCCTAACCTCAGGTGATCCACCCGCCTCGGCCTCCCAAAGGGCTGAGATTACAGGCATGAGCCACCATGCCCAACCTCATTTTACTTTTATTAATTTGCCACAAATTTTATGTAATAAAATTTCACCTACCTTCCCAAACCAGGCGATGGTGCTTGAGAATTATTGTAAGAATTCTGTGGAAAAAGTAAAACATACTTAACAACAACAAAAACTATCACTACTTTATAACGTTCTAAATATATCTGAAAGCATTGGGCCAGAGTTGATCTTAAGGAGCTTTAAAAGTTTAAGACACCAAATACACACGTGTGTGTGCAGGAACGTGCGTGTGTAAATGTACAAAAAAAATTATTAGGTGAGAGCTAGGGTGTTCTGGAAGACTTCACAGAAGAGGCAAGGAAAGAATGAGTAACACATGGATGAAGGGAAGGGGAATAAGTCCCAGCTACTCCCAACTGCCCGGGAGTAGCTACAGTAAGCCATGATCATTTTCTTTAAAACTCCCTCTTAAAAAAAGGAGCAGGGAGTCTGGGCGGGGGGGACAGGGGAGAGGTGAATCATACTAAGCACAAAGGCTGCAGAAAAGAAAATGTATGTGCCCCATACAGTTTGCCTAAAGCAGAAGTTTAGGCAAGAAACAGAGAGAGACCATGGGGCCAGGTTAAGGTATTTAAACTTGATCCAGTAGGCAACTGCTGAAGGGTTTCAAGTCATAATCAGAGGCAGATTTTAGGAGGATTTATGTGGTGTTAGCCTGAAGAAACACAGGAAAACCTTTTAGGAAACTAAGATAGTAGTAAAAAAATAATGGCATGAAAATAAAAGACCACTTAAAAAATCTAAAAACAGCAGCTGCATGTGGCTACAAGAGTTCTACAATGAGATACAGGTACATTAAAAAACTCAAAAGAAACCTCAAACTTATCTGAAAGGTCCCAAACAGTAGCTCCTCCCTTGTTGTGTTTTGCATAAACATGAGGGCAGTTCTGAGGTGAGGACAGGAGATGACAAATTTTGTCTCCTAAGAAATGTACCTTGCACTTTTGCATGCTTACCTTCAGGTGCTCTGTCAGTGTCTTTGAGTACTTCAGAGCATTTTCCTTCTTCAGTTTGAATAGCCTCAGGTACAGCAAAGACTCGCATCGCAGGCTAGCCAATGGAAAAGGGCAACTTATTTACCAGGACAGCAAACTCTGGCCAGATCTGCACAGACAGCCTTTGCATTGTGCAAGAATATATAACTGGCTCATATGACCACAGCATAGGCCACAACACTAACCCTTAGGCAAAACCAAAAGATGTGTTCTTATTGTGGTATACAACCTAGGGAGCGGGAGATAACTAAGAAGCCTAGGACTAGCCTTTCATTATTTGTTGACATTCCAAAATTCAAACCTCACCTCATAGGACGCCAACAGGTTAGGAAGTTTTAAAGACTACAAAGGTGGAGAATTTCCAAGCCAAATTGTAAACAATCTAAAATGAGTGAAAACTGGAAACTCAACTACAAACATGACAAACCAAAACATGGCTTACAAAAACCTTGCAGGATCATTCCTGCCTGTCTCCAGTCACACCTTCTCGCTGGTCTTTTAATTCCTTAAAAGTTTCCCATTTCTTTCCACCATTCAGCCCTTGTACATGTTGTTCCCTCTAAATAGAGTAGGTCTCCCTACCCTCTACTGTTACAGTTACATATACTTTTCTTTCAAAATATTTAATTAATATGGACTTGAATGATGATTTGGTTGATTTCTGTCTTCTCATACTAGACAATACTCCATGATGAATAGGGCTCTGTTAGTTTTCTTCTTAGTTGCATTCCCAGTGTTAAACAGAGTGCCAGGTAAAGTAAAGGTCTGTAACAACCGAACTGATAATATCTCACTGCGATGAAGCAAGCAAGTCACGTCCTTTATTCTGAGCAAGGTAGATGTATACATGAATGGAGAGAGAGGGTACCAAAAGAAGAGCGTGGAAAAGTCAGACTGTGGCGGTTTCTAACATCAGTCCCACCAAACCAAAGCTTTCATCAAGCGGGAAATGGATCAGAGACTGACAACAGCTAAAACTTTTTAGTAGGAATTCTGAGTTACTTCCTGCTTGACCCATCAGGAACAGATTTAAGACAGGATTATAGAAGGCTGATTCAAGGAAAACATTCAGAAGAGCAATACAGCACTATTTATCATAGAACTTCCTGTCATCTACAGAGGCTAGTACACAGAAACTCACCAAAGCACTGTGAGTCGTTTATCTGCAGCTGTAGCATCTGGTGCCAAGTAGTTCTTTAGCTTCATAGTGTATCTGTGAGTTACAATAACAAAAAAATGACAAACAGAATACTTCACCTTGATCTTATGATTTCACTTGTCCTCAAAACATTAGAATTTCAAACCTAAATAAAAGCAAAAATACTCATTGAAGTATCTACTTCTTTATCCAAGGACATTAAAAGATATACACACTCTTCAGTTTACTATATATCAGCCCCTTCCCTAGATGGACCAGAGAAATAATGTTATTGCCAATGATTTGCCAAGTTTTTCCACTTACTTGATGAGATCCACCGTCTCTGAATACATAGGGAATGGGGATTTGGATTCCTGAGCATTTTTCTCTAATGCATTCCCACATTCAATGAAAGATACCACAGCATCAAGATAGTATACAGCTTTCTCAAACCTATCAGACTGAAGAAAGGAGAATACAAGTAATGCATAGTGACGTACTATGGCTACAAACAAAAGATTATTTAAGTTAATTTGATTAAATACATAAGTGTATGGAGAATATTTACATACCAATGCATCTGCATTGTGCTTTAGCTTTTTTGCTTCTTGTAGATAATGGTCTGCTGAATAATTTCTGCAAGGTAAATTTTCATTACAAATAAAATAGTAAATATTTTTATAATACTAGTTCATTTCAGTTTCTAGTAACCCTCAGTTTTTATGTCCTCAAGCAAATAAAATGAGCTATTACTAAGTACTTGTTTCAATTTTTTCTGACAAATGTTTATATCAGGTTAAAAGTATAAGTTACTTGGCTAACTCATGGCAAATCTAATTAGGAAAATAGAAATCAAGCTCCCTAGTATTAAATACTAAGTTACTCAAGTTGATTAAGCATAAATAAAATGTGAGAAGAAATAATCTTTTATTAAAACAGAGGAAAAAAACAATATTCCTCTTCCTCATCTAAGAAACACTCCATTTTAACAGTGATATCAGCAGTAGTAAGGTTCTTCTACTAAAACACAGATCATTCACATCCCCCATGGGAGTCACTAAAGGAGCAGTACTTGGACTAGTGGGTACCTTTCAAATTGAAACTTGAATATGCTGCCAATCATACATAACTATTCATCCTACTGACCAATGATAGAAATTAAAATGAGTTTCTTATATGCTGACTGAAATAATTTCTTAGATACACATACAAAAAAATCGTATTATCTTACCTGTCATCAAAGACAAGCTTTGTTCTCCGAGGCTTAGAAGAATCAAGAGTTGGTGCAGATGGAGGACAGTGAGAGGAGCTACTTGGAGCCTTTTCCTGACCAAAAAAATAAATAACTACAATGAAAACTGTAAGGAGATTAAAAATTAAACTAACAGCATTTTTTTCAGCCACTGGTAAAAAGGAAACAAAAATCCATTGCCTTTTTTTTTTTTTTTTTAACAATGAGCCCTGACTAAGCAGGACATCAAAAAATTCAGTTATAAACTCATAATTGTTCCTCTCCATGGAACTCTTTAGTAAAAAGCAAGACTTATTTGTTATGAAGAGAAACCAGAGAATGTCCACTGCCTTTTGTAATAAATTTCCTTGTTATAAAACTTTTATAAACTTCATAATGTAAACTTTTTTTAAAAAAAAACAATGGATCCATTTAATATAACTGTAATATTCATTCTAATACTTATTTAAGGGCCTACTATATGCCAGGCACTGGCCTAGGCAGTTGTTAAAACATAAGGAAGACAAAATCTAATACCAAAATGGCAGCACTGCTTACGGCAAAATTTATTGATAGTTACTCGTCAATGAAAACAGAAATAATATTAATAGCATCTAATGTTTATTTATGTGCTTATTACTTACCAGACACTAAGTTAACTAAGTTCTTAGCACTGTTTTTAATCCCTCAACAACCTTAGGAAATAAGTACTGCTATTAAGATAAAATAAAAAAGCAGTCTCAAGGAGGTTGAATAACTTGCCTAAGTTCAAACAGGTTTTAAGTGGCATTCCTGGAATTTGAGTTTTAAATTCAGAATTGTCAGTCTTCAAAAGCTTAGCTACTTTCTTAAACTTTATTGTGCCTCCCATCCACATGTCTTTTTTTTTTTTTTTTTGAGATGGGGTCTTGCTACGTTGCCCAGGTTGGTCTCAAACTCCTAGGCTCAAGTGATCCTCATACTTCAGCCTCCTGAGTAGCTGGGATAGGAGGCAGGTACCACTGCACCTGGCTGCTTGTCTGCTCTGTCTCCTTTCAATATAGCCCTACATGATTCTCTCTCAACTGCCTCCCATCCTGCCCTATCTTTAATAAAATGAATACACATTTTTCTACAATAAAACACCATAAACAAGTGGAATTTATTCCAGAGAACTATGACTCTCTCTCTCAATTGCCTCCCATCCAGCCCTATCTTCAATAAAACAAATATACATTTTTCCATAATGAAACACCATAAACAAGTGGAATTTATTCCAGGAATGCATGGATATTTCAACATTTAGAAAACCCAATAATACATAACTTTACCCAATAATATAAATTTTATATTTATATAAAACATACACAATTTTTAAATACATAATTGTACTTTGAAATGGCCTTCTGAATATTATGTTGTACTGTAACATTACTAGGATAGCTTTCCCTCTATGTTTTATTTATTTATTTGAGACAAGGTCTCACTCTGTTACCCTGGCTGGAGTGTAGTGGTACAATTATGGCCCACTGTGGCTTCAACCTCCTGGGCTCAAGTGATCCTCCAGACAGCCTCCCAAACTGTTGGAATTACAGGCCATGAGCCACCATGCCTGGTTCCCTCTATATTGTATAAATAGACCCACTAAGGACCTACATTTAGATTTGCTTTTCAGAGGATTTCTGAAAATAAAGTTTCCAGATATTTAAACATAGTTTTCTTATATAAAAGTTGTGTGTAATGTTGGTTTTCCAGATCTAATTTTTCTTTCATTGATAGAATAAAAAGTAGCATATTACCCAACTAAATTACAGATTTTTCTCTAATAAACTCAAACGTCACTGCCTAACTTGGAAATTGTCAAGACTAACAAATATTAACTTCAATAACTTTAAGTCCCAAGAGCTACTGAAATCAGAGTGGTAAGGACCTATTCTATATTTTGTTGAAAACAACAGAGTCCCAAATTACTACATTTGATCCAACAAATATTTCCTCATTACCCAGCAAGTTAAGTACTAGATAAATCACAAAATAAGTAAGACACAAATCCCTGCTTTCAAGAAGCTGACAAACTTCTTGAAGAAACTCCCTTCTTTTTTTTCCTCAGACGGAGTCTTGCTCTGTCGCCAGGCTGGAGTCAGTGGTGCGATCTCGGCTCACTACAACCTCTGCCTCCTGGGTTCAAGTGATTCTCCTGCCTCAGCCTCCCGAGTAGCTGGGACTACAGGCACACGCCACCATACCCAGTTAATTTTTGTATTTTTAGTAGAGACGGGGTTTCACCATGTTGGAGAGGATGGTCTTGATCTCTTGACCTTGTGATCCGCCCGCCTCGGCCTCCCAAAGTGCTGGGATTACAGGTGTGAGCCACCACGCCCGACCAAAATTCCCTTCTAATGTGTGTTAGAAGTGTACACAGTGATTTTTACCTGTGAGACAGCAGAAACCAAATGAGCAGGAGAGCTCATTTAATACATTTTTTTTAAAGCAATAGCAGGTTTCAAGAATCAAGCACAGAGGCCTCAAATTCTACAGTTAAAGGATGAGAAATGAAGAAAATCCATCAGCAGGGAGATGGAGAACTGGAGCAATGAAGCAGGGCCAATATAAGAGTCAAGGTCTTAAGCACCTTGTGCTAACACTGATCTACTAAAGAAGGAGGTTGTTCAGCTAGAGAAAATGTGTATTTTGATTTGAAAAGTTATTAAAATAATCTTGATTAAAAAATTTTATTTTACCACATTTAATCAATATAACTAATAGCTTTAAGCAGTCTTATTTTTCAACTCTCAAACCTTTGCTTACTAAATAATAGGTATTTTCTGATTTGAGTAAATTTGTAAACAGTTTAGAAAGCAATGCAAAGAACCTGGTAAACAAACTGAGGGTGATTCAATTAAAGTACAGCCTTGAAAAAGCTTCTTTGATCCAAATCTCCATCCATAAACATGAAGAATATTCCCCTATATTGTGACTATCCTAGGAATAATAATTAGAAATAATTACAGTGCTGCTTTTTGGCAAAGGGTTTGCCGCCAGAACATAGGTGTCGTGAAAACTACCGCTAAAAGCCAAAATGGGAAAGGAAAAGGCTCATATCAACATTGTCATCATTGGACACATAGATTCGGGCAAGTCCACCACTACTGGCCATCTAATCTACAAATGTGGTAACATCGACAAAAGAACCACTGAAAAATTTGAAAAGGAGGCTGCTGAGATGGGAAAGAGCTCCTTCAAGTATGCCTGGGTCTTGGATATAAAAGCCGAGCGTGAACATGGTATCACCATTGATATCTCCTTGTGGAAACTCGAGACCAGGAAGTACTATGTGACTATCATTGATGCCCCAGGACACAGAGACTTCATCAAAAACATGATTACAGGGACATCTCAGGCTGACTGTGCTGTCCTGATTGTCGCTGCTGGTGTTGGTGATTTCGAAGCTGGTATCTCCAAGAACGGGCAGACCTGAGAGCATGCCCTCCTGGCTTACACACTAGGTGTGAAACAACTAATTGTTGGTGTTAACAAAATGGATTCCACTGAGCCACCCTACAGCCAGAAGAGATATGAGGAAATCGTTAAGGAAGTCAGCACTTACATTAAGAAAATTGGCTACAACCCTGACACGGTAGCATTTGTGCCAATTTCTGGTTGGAATGGTGACAACATGGTGGAGCCAAGTGCTAACATGCCTTGGTTCAAGGGTTGGAAAGTCACCCATAAGGATGGCAATCCCAGAGGGACTACACTGCTTGAGGCTCTGGACTGCATCCTACCACCGACTCGTCCAACTGACAAGCCCTTGCACCTGCCTCTCCAGGAGGTCTATAAAATTGGTGGTATTGGTACTGTTCCTGTTGGCCGAGTGGAGACTGGTGTTCTCAAACCTGGTATGGTGGTCACCTTTGCTCCAATCAACGTTACAACTGAAGTGAAATCTGTTGAAATGCACTATGAAGCTTTGAGTGAAGCTCTTCCTGGGGACAATGTGGGCTTCAATGTCAAGAATGTGTCTGTCAAGGATGTTCGTTGTGGCAACATTGCTGGTGACAGCAAGAATGACCCATCAATGGAAGCAGCTGGCTTCACTGCTCAGGTGATTATCCTGAACCATCCAGGCCAAATCAGTGCTGGCTATGCCCCTGTACTGACACATAGCTCACATTGCACGCAAGTTTGCTGAGCTGAAGGAAAAGATTGATCGCCATTCTGGCAAAAAGCTGGAAGACGGCCCTAAGTTCTTGAAGTCTGGTGATGCTGCCATCATTGATATGGTTCCTGGCAAACCCATGTGTGTTGAGAGCTTCTCAGACTATCCACCTCTCGGTCGCTTTGCCGTTCGTGATATGAGACAGACAGTTGCCATGGGTGTCATCAAAGCAGGAGACAAGAAAGCTGATGGAGCTGGCAAGGTCACCAAGTCTGCCCAGAAAGCTCAGAAGGCTAAATGAACATTATCCCTAATACCTGCCACCTCAGTCTTAATCAGTGGTGGAGGAAGAACCGTCTCAGAACTGTTTGTTTCAATTGGCCATTTAAGTTTACTAGTAAAAGACTAGTTAATGATAACAATGTGTCGTAAAATCTTTGGGAGGAAAGGAGAATGTTTTGTGGACCACTTTGGTTTTCTTTTTTTGCATGTGACAGTTTAAGTTATTAGTTTTTAAAATCAGTACTTTTTAATGGAAACAACTTTTTTTTTTTTGCCAATCAGTTTGAGCTTATGAGGTTGCTCAGGTTAGCCTTGAACTGATGACCTCGCCTTCGCGAGCGCCATGACCTCCAGCAGGAGCCACTTTGGACAACTTGACCAAAAATTTGTCACAGAATTTTGAGACCCATTAAAAAAGTTTAATGAGGAAAAAAAAGAAATAATTACAGTGCTAACTTAGCTAAAGATTTCTTTTTCTATTTAATGAATCAAAGGCAAATGATTGCTTTGTCACCTTACATAATATAACTTGTTTGTAAAGTCTAATTCTGAGAAACTCAAAGCCTACTTCAAACAAAATACAAGAACTTAATCTTAGCAACTAAAACCATTTAGTTCTTATTTTAAAAACTTCCATAACCAACTTTTCCAATTACTGGTTTCTACCTTTATTTTTCCAATTTTAAAGTTCTTAGAGACAGGGTCTCATCATGTTGCCCAGGCTGGACTCAAATTCCTCAAGTGATCCTTCCATCTTAGCCTCCCAAATAGCTGGTACTACAGGTATGAGCCACTGCACTCAGGACTTTTTATTTCAGTGTGCATGTGACCAGCTGATTTACTGCTTTCACAGTCTCACATCACTGTATTAATCGATCAGTATTATTATATAGAGAGGGTAAAAGGCATAGGCCTATATATTTATTGAGATGTTACAATAATTTCAAAGCAGTGTCACCTTGGAGAAGTCATATGGCAAGCTGAGTGATTTTCAAAAGCCCCAGCCCCTAACACTTTACCTTAACCTCCTTGGAGTTACTAGAAGTCTTCCCTTCGGTCTTCTTCTGCTTGGATGTGGAAGAACTGTTTTTGCTGCTGCCACTTGTCTCCTTGTTGCTGTTACTGCTTGACTTTAAGGAAGAAGACTGACTAATAGTCCTCTTCCTAGAGCCATGCTCTGTTTTTGGATCTTTTGAAGGAACAGGCCCAGCGGGAGAAGGCAACAAATCCTTTTCTTTTGCAGCACTCTGCTTAGATGACCTGCCAAATAAAACAAATGCCCTCATTTCTCCACACAGTGATACAGAGGTGATGGATTTTTCCATTTCTCTTTGTCTGCTTTCAAGACAAATCTGTTTTTCCCCATTTCATTACTAGGACACATTATTTCTGTAAAACAAAATAAAACTGTAAATTCCATGAGGGTAGGTATCTTGTCTGTTTTTATTCCCGTGGTTGTATATGCAGTGCCAAAAATATGACCTACCACTCAGTAAGTACTCAATAAATATTGGTTGAATGAATGAACAAATTGATGAATGGTGAATGAAGAGATTACCACTCATAAGTTGGCAACTAGTCTCTTGGAAATTATAGGTAAGTTTGCCATCTAACCAGAAAGTGGCACAGCTTTATTTTAATTCTCCCCCCATACTCACCCCTACCCCCAAGAAAAAATGAAGAAAGGAAGAACTAATTAAATTTTAAATGTTGCCCATCCCCATTGACTAAAAGCAAAAGCTTCCACTATTTGCCATATGTTATGTGTGTGCATTTATGTGACACCCATTTACTAAAAGGAACACTCAGAGCATGTTAGAAAGTACCCAGTATCAAGTGATATACATATATTAACAACACTAGCATGCAACATGTTTTGGGGACATACTCTCTGTTGCTGGATGGCTTATGGCCTGCTGAATTCTTGTCCTCCGTTTTGGGTTTCTTGCTCTCACTGGCTCGGCTATCATCTTCATTCTAGATGAAAAATAGAAACCATGGCTACTCGGTCTGATTTTTATTCAACTAACTTCAGCTTCCAGCACTAGCTACCCATAAAGAGTTTATCCCTGATAAGACATCAGAAAGAAAATAAAAGAGAAGTACAATAATTCATTTAAATAATATTGAAAGAGATTAGGTTTTAAGGCTGAGGTCTCCTATTTTAGATAGACTAAAACAGATTTCCTGCAGTGTCTAAGATGGCATCTTTTCAGTGTAATGATTTGAGGGGTCACATCTGTGAAACTATAATTAAGATATAATTTATATAACGTAACATTCACTCTTTAGAAGTGCACAATTCCATAACATTTGGTATATTCAGAGTTGTACGACCATCACCACAATGAATTTTAAAATATTTTTGTTATCCTGAAAAGATACTCTATACCCATTAGCAGTCTATCCCCATCTCCTCCTCTCCCAGACACTGGCAATCTACATTTCATCTTTATGGATTTGCCTATTCTAGACATTTCAGGAAAATGGTATCATTCAATATATGTGACCTTTTGTGACTGGCTCTCCTTTCATTTAGTGTAACATTTTTAAAGTTCATCCACGTTGCAGCATGGATCAGTACTGCATTCTCATTTACGGCTAAATAGTATTACACTGCATAGAATTTATTCATTTCGTTTAGTTATTCATCAAGTGATGGCCATCTGGGTTGTCTCCACTTTTTGGCTAATATGAATAATGCTATTATGAATATTCAAGTACGAGTTTTTGTGTGGATATATGTTTTCATTTCTCTTGGATGTACACCTAGGAGTACAACTGCAGGTCAAAAGGTAATTCTATGTTTAATTTTTTCAGTAACAACTAAACTATGTTCCAAAGCAGTGGTATCATTTCCATTCTCACCAGCACTGTCTCAGAAGTTCCAACTTCTTGACAACTTTGCCAACATTTGCTATGGTCCATACTTTTGATTATAGCCCAGCCTAGTGACTGAAAAAACTTTCTGATGGAAAACACAAGTGGTGGGCCCACTCACTGCCAATGTTATTTTTCTAAATGAATCTAAGTTTTCCTTTTGCTTCAAATATCAGGACACGAGAATGTAAATATTCTACCATAACATAATAAAACTCATTAGGTATAGTATGGACAGTAGTAAGCTTTGGTCTTCTAGAAATTCAAATAATGTGGACAATTTCAATTTTTAAAGATTCAAAAAGTAGTGAGGTACTATTCTAATTTCTCTTAATATATATAATTTGCACATGGCACTGTGGTTTTATGCAAAGGAGAGAGGAAAATATCTCACTTCATTTTAAGAAAGTGCTCTACTCTCCTGTAGTATCTAGGATTCTCAGGTTAACTAGATTGGTTCTTGTGTTCTAAGTTTATTTGGTAAGGCCATTTGAGTACCTAACTGTTCACCTACTCAAGCTTAACTTTTAGTCTTTCACAATCATATACAGGTATACAGGTATCAGGGGAAATTATATTATTCTTTGATATAGACTACTTAAAACTTTATGTTCTCCTAAAAATTCCTCACTAGAGCTGAAAAGATCAGGCTGTTTTTCCCAAAGCGTCTCTATAGGTGTGATTCAGATCTCTTCATTATATGACTATTCCTCCAATCATAGACACGTGTGAGTTTTCACATTTCTTCTAAGAAAACTTGAATGTACAAATTTGCCTCTACATCCAAAATTATCTTGGGAGACATTTAGGGATGAGAGCTGGCTATGTGCTAGCAGTATTTTTAGTTCTGACCTTTGTTAGGGAAAAGAAGCTGGGGCACAGAGGTGCACAGCAGATTAGTGGAATTCTTAAGGATATGTCAAAATTTGTAAATCAATTCTTTTTTTTTTAGCTGAAATCAGTATTACTTGTGTTAAAAGTGTGACTTGGTCTGGGTGTAAGACAGAAAAGAATGGTAGGGATTATAACAACCTGGAGGGTACATATCCAAACTAAAAACACCTACAACCAAAATGTTGAGAATGTTGCAAAGGCCTATTTGCAAGATGCTGCTCTCTGACCTTTACACTGGCCAGCACATGCTAAAAAGCACTGGCTCATTTCTTATTTCATTAGCAACTATCCTGCTTTACTGAAGGACACAGGCAGAAACAAAGAAGTCCTCAAGACTGCTCCATATGTAGCTTCTATTGGGCCTTGGACTTACCCACTACTTTCCTTCACAGCTTATGACCCACCTTGTTACTTTGTGGCTTACTGAGATTTCCACAGCATTTCAGATTTTAATGTGCCATTTCAGATTCTGATATTTCAAAACAAACAACAAAAACCCTTCACACACCTTATGCTTTCTCTTGCCTTTGTTGGAAACTTTTTCTGAGGCTTGTTTCTGAGCCTCTCTCGTGTGCTTTTCTGGCACATTTTTCTTTTCCCCCTTGGGTGGCTCTGTTTCTTTGTAAGGCTTTCCTGGTATTCTAGTCAAAAGATTCAGGTCAATCTTCACAATAAGTGGATACCTGTCATCAGGCTCACTGAGGGGTGAAAGAAGTTCCTTCTCTTCCATAGGAGAGAACATTCGTTGCCGAAAAAAGCTATCTTCTTCCTCCATTGAGGAGGGTTTAACAGGAGTCCTATTACTCTCGGGGTACTTAGGAGTTTGTGAGGAAGGAGGAAGGCTCTCACTTTCATCTGAATCTGAGGATGAGGTATCTGTTTCTATGATTTCCCTTGATTTCTGGGAAGATTTACTTGTCGACTTATATTTCTTTTTCTCTGCTGTAGGTCGAGGGGAAGACTTAGACTCCTTCTTTATATTGGGTTTCCTTGAGCCTTTGGTGGCTGCTTTGTGTCTGCTGGAGGGCATGCTGCTAGCCAAGTCTACAGGGGTTTCACTTTCTATCTTCAGGCCTCCACGAGGCTCTTCAGCAGCTGCCTTCTCAGCCTTTTTGGGTTGTTTTTTGCCTACAGTTCTTCTCTGTGTTGTGCTGTCACTCTGAGCAGGAGATTTCTGTCTCCCACGCCCACTTTCTGATCCCTTTTGGATGGTTTTGGAGTCTCGTCCAGGAGTAGCGGAACTCGTTTCTTTGGGTCCAGTCGTATCAGTGTAGCTATTCCCAGTGCCCTGCTCTCTGCCTTCCTTTTTGTAACCTTGAGATGATGGGATATTACTGTCCACTGAAGAAGCGGGTGACACTTTATGTGGGTTCACCTTATTCAACCAATTATCAAGTTGCCATTTGTTTGTTGGCGGGGGTTCAGGCTGAAAAACAGAGAAATATGCATGCTTTTGTCAATACTGAAGCGTTCTCTCTCCTTTATAACCTCCAAGAAGACAAAAACTACAATTGCCTCATGCAACAAAAGCATTTACTCTCCATGATTCTCTATGAACCAAAGCAAAGGGCTGGGTGAGTATTGACTGTTAGCTCTTATCATCTGAATGAGAAGATAAGCTTAATATTACATATGACCTTTAAATTACAAATTCAAGAATCCAATTTCAAAAGCATAATTACAAATGACCATACAGAATATTTAATTCTAGAAAGTAAAGAAATGATGTAGGTACAAGGAGATTTTTAACTGCAATTTAACAAACTATACTAAAATTGTATTATATAAGATGCCTTTTATCAACAACAGGATGTTCTTTCTAACTACAGAACATCAATTACCATGTTGAATCATAAAAATAAAGACCAAACTAAAGATACACAATATTTTAGTGACCTGTAATATGATGTCAAGCAGTTCCTAATCTAGACCAAATTTCCTCAAACAACAAGGAACCATATGTTTCCTCCAAGGTAAACAGTACAATTTCTTTTTGTCAGAATATGGAATCGTCTTTCCTTTACCTTTTATATTTAAATCAGGCCCGTTTTTTTTTTTTTTTTTTTTTTTTGAGACAGAGTTTCACTCTTGTTACCCAGGCTGGAGTGCAATGGCACGATCTCGGCTCACCGCAACCTCCGCCTCCTGGGTTCAGGCAATTCTCCTGCCTCAGCCTCCCGAGTGACTGGGATTACAGGCACGCGCCACCATGCCCAGCTAATTTTTTGTATTTTTAGTAGAGACAAGGTTTCACCTTGTTGACCAGGATGGTCTCAATCTCTTGACCTCGTGATCCACCCGCCTCAGTTAAATCAGGTCTTAAATGGATATCACCAAGAATCCTGAGAGGGCCTATGGAAGGTAGCCCCTCTCTCTGTCTCACCTCAGGAGATGCACTCTGGGATGGCTCATTTGCCTCACTGTCACTGGAACTACTTTCACTCTCTGAGTCAGATCCAGAGCTGCTTTCAGATCCACTGTGGCTACTAGAATCATCCCTGGAGTTATCTGCTCCTTCACTATTATGGTGTGAAGGTTCAGAGTTACTAAAAGAGATGAAACATACAAATGTCCAAAGTTTATTTTACATTGACAACAGGAAAACATCCAAATCTGACAACCAACTTTCTTGTTTTGTTTTGTTTTTCAAGACGGAGTCTCACTCTGTCACCCAGGCTGGAGTGCAGTGGCATGATCCTCAGCTCACTCCAACCTCCACCTCCCGGGTTCAAGCAATTCTTCTCTTAGCCTCCTGAGTAGCTGGGACAACAGGCACCTGCCACCATGCCCAGCTAATTTTTGTATTTTTAGTAGAGACAGAGTTTCACCATATTGGTCAATCGGGTCTCAAACTTCTGACCAAGGTGATATGCCTGCCCTGGCCTCTTGAAGTGCTGGAATTACAGGTGTCAGCCACCACACCCAGCCACAACTCTCTTTAAAATGTTTACTATTTGTTAGACTGTTATAATTTTATGAATCCTGAACTTCACTGTAAATGAAATGAATAATTCCTTTTAAAAGTTTCTGATGTGCTGCTTAGCTATTCTTACCTTTTAAAAACAGTTTGAGGTATAATATATAAACCACCTACTTTAAGTGTATAACTCAATTATTTTTAGTTAATTTACAGAGTTGTACAACCACTATCAAAACTGATATTTACTTATAAAGCAACTTATATCCCTACACTGTTATCAGGCTGATCCAACTCTTACCAATAAAAGAGTAAAGAAAAGGATGCTCACCTTCCAGGTGTGCTCCTTGGCATTGTCTTATCACAATCCTAAAATTAAAGCATAAGAAGGAATCTGTGAATGAATAAACAGTATTCTATTTGCTTAGTGTGAATATCTGAACTGAACAAAAAAAACTGGATTCTCTATGCAACAATGCTTAATTAACACTTATACTGTTTTTACCTAAATAGTAACTGAATTGCCAGTATAAGATCAAAAGCTTTGTTAATAGTTATTGCTGTCAATGATCTACTGCTTCATGAGTATGTTCTGATCCATAATAAATGTGAGGAAAACCCAATTAAAAAAAAATAAGAAAAAAATGGAGATCTAAATACAGAGAGGAAAACTACAACATTCCAGTGTCAGAAAGCTTATAAGAAGAAACTTATTTTAAGTAATAAATGCATTATTCAATTATCATTTTTATAAGATACAATGAAAATACTGTTTGAGACTGGCAAATAGTAGACATACCTGTTCCCCATCACTGTCTTCACTGCTGCTTAGTTTTAAGTCATCTTTTAACATACTAAGAGAAAAGGCAGAAAGGATTATTATTTTTGGAACAGTTTACATGGTATGCCAAAGTACTAAATTCTAGAAACTATCACTGTGGTAACCAAAAATTTAACCATAAAACAAAACACCCATAAGTCTTATTCTATCCGGTTTGATTCAGTCTCAAAATTGAGAATGGAGGAATTTAACTATCTCATAAGCTCTAACCTTCCCATGAATAAAATATTCACTTTTTCTAATTAAACAAAAGCAACTTTCTATAAACTCTCATATTCAGTTCTGTAATCTCTAACTTTTCCCCTAATCGTGCACACACATATTCATTATTAAAAATTAACACAGCCATACCCAACAATCCACTACAGAGATATAAGTCCTAAAAAGAAGGAAGACAAAATGAAAGCATCAAGCAATTCTTTCTTTGTACCCTATGTTCCACAAAGAGAGGTTAGCATAACTGTTGACAACTGGGTAAATGTGAAAACCAGCACAGTTTCCTAAGCCAAAGTTTTACTTCATAAATGCCTTGCTATGAAAGAAATTGCCCTCTATAAATAAAAATTTCAGGTAAAAGCCTTGGCTATATAGCAGCAATGACTATGCATATGTTTTTAAAACTCCTAAGTTCTGGCTGGGTGCAGTGGTTCACATCTATAATCCCAGCACTTAGGGAGGCTGAGGTGAGCAAATCACCTGAGGTCAGGAGTGAGACCAGCCTGGCCAAAATGGTAAAACCTCATCTCTACTGAAAATACAAAAATTAGCTGGGGGTGGTGGTGAATGCCTGTAATTCCAGCTACTCAGGAGATTGAGGTAGGAGAATCGCTTGAACCTGGGAGCTGGAGGTTGCAGTGAGCTGACATCCCATCACTGCACTACAGCCTGGGCGACAGAGCAAGACTCTGTCTCAAAAACAAAATAAAAAATAAACCATCCAAGTTCCAGAATCACCCTTGAGCAAAATTCAAATCAATTAAAACACATACACAAATACTAAAAGCTAACAGTTTCTGGAATTTGTTTTTGAAAGTAAAATTAAAGCTGTAAAATCAAAACAATTAAACTTAAAATTTTCCACACAGCCCACAAAACATTCCTTGTCTTTTTACAGAGGAGGAAAAATTAATACGAAGCTTAGGGAGAACTAAAACTAGAAAAAGGTCTAATTTCTCATTACCAGTAATTCCATTACCTTTCTTAAAATTTTATGACTATCTCCAATCAGTGGGAAGGAAATCTTCTTTCCCTCTAATAACTACTTGTAATTTCCCCATCAAAGCTTAACCTACATTTCTGTATCTGACCCTAAGTTCAAAATATTACATATAAAAGATCACCTTGAAATGAAGTAACCAGATGATTTTTAAAACAGGCCCAATTAAATCGAACAGGAAAAAAGAGTTTTCTTTCAGGCAAGGGCTGAGTACATCTATCTCTATGACTGATTTTCCTCTAAGGAAATGTACTTACTCTGAATTCTCTCGGCCCTTATGATTTAATAATGGCAGCTCAATGAACTTGTTTACACATGTGAATATGTCAAAGCTTTTAGCAGACTACTCAAGGCCGTACACACACTTTTGTTCCCTTAGCAACCAAAGTGATAGGCACAAATATGTAAGTACAGAGCAGTTCTTTACATACAAATAAATATGGTAACAGAAATATAATTTGAATTTTTCAGTGGGGGGCGTTGCTTCTCGTGTTCATGTATTTTCATTCTTAGTTCTTATATTCAGTTGAAGTGCTGCCAGGCTAGGGTCATCACAGTAGTTTCTGACTGTGGCATAGAAAGCTGGCACTATAGTCACTGTTTCTTTAGAACTTTAATCACTGAGTTAACTTGCAGTCTCAGGAATTCATTTTTTAAGCTGGAATTTATTTTCATCCAATACATTACCCTGTTACATTTAAAAAAATATATTCCTGGATCTACCAACAAAATAAAAATAGGAAAACTTAAAGACAATTCAAACTACGTTTGTTACTTAATCTAGTGGTTAAATGAAGGGCTTGGCTTAAAGAAAAATCATGTCTTTTTCTATTTTATGACTTCTTTACTAAATACAAATTAGGAATATACACACAAAAACATACACATACAACTCTAAAATGAGAAAAAAAAATTATCTCAGAGCAGAGGCAGGCAAACTGTGACCACAAGCCAAATCCAACCTGCCACATTGTTATAAAGAGTGTGGCTGGAATATGGTCTACAGCTGCTTTAATATTACAGTGGCAGAGCTGGGCAGTTAAAACACAGACTATGTGGCTCTGAAAGCCTAAATATTTCACTAACTGACCCTTTACATAAAAGTTTGCATGCTCATGCCTTAAAAGATCAATATTTATTTTATTTTTTAATTTTGAGACCAAGTATCACTCTGTGGTCCAGGCTGGAGTAAAGCGGTGCAATCTCAGCTCCCTACAACCTCAGCCTTCCAAGTTGAAGTGATTCTCCTGCCTCAGCCTTCCAAGTAGCTGGGATTACAGGCACTCGCCACCAAGCCTGCCTAATTTTTTGTATTTTTAGTAGAGAAGGGGTTTCACCACAGTGGCCAGGCTCGTCTCGAATTCCTGACCTCATGTGATCCACCAGCCTTGGCCTGCCAAATGCTGGGATTACAGGCGTGAGCCACCTTGCCCAGCCTCAATATTTCTAAGTATTGTTAAAAATACCCAGATATGGCCGGGCGTGGTGGCTCACGCCTGTAATCCTAGCACTTTGGGAGGCCAAGGCGGGCGGATCACGACGTCAAGAGATCACGGCCATCCTGGCCAACACGATGAAACCCTGTCTCTACTAAAAATACAAAAATGAGCTGGGCTTGGTGACGTGCGCCCATAGTCCCAGCTACTTGGGTGGCTGAGTCAGGAGAAATGCTTGAACCCGGGAGGCAGAAGTTGCAGTGAGCCGAGATTGCGCCACTGCACTCCCACCTGGCGAAAGAGCGAGACTCCGTCTCCAAACAAACAAACAAACAAACAAATCTCAGATATTACAGGTAACTTTTATAAAAATGATAAACATGAAACTTATTAAGCAATAAACTTACGATTTAGACTGGTGCCCATTTGAAGTTTTAGAAGGATTATATCTTTCTGGAACAAAAACAATGACGTGAGCAACTAAAGTATGGCTATTTAGACTGTAAAATGTCTACATAAAATATCTACCCTCAAATAAATGTAAATCAAACAATGAAATATAGTTCTTCATCCACCAAACAGGTATCACCATCAAGCCCAATAATATGAGGTACTGGTGACTACAGGGGAAATAAGCATGCATTCATGTTGCCGGTAGGACTGTAAATGCACACTATCTTCTTGGAGGGCAATCTGGTAATATAATATAACTATACTGCTAACTAACTTAGTAATTCTAATATAAGGAATTACGTTACAGGTATAATCTTGAGAAACACACACAAACACACACACAGGGGAATGTTTTCATAGCACAGTGTGTAACAGCAAAAACTGGAAAAAAAAATGTCCATCAATATTTAAGGTGGAACTAAGAAATTGGATATAGAGATAAAGAAAGCATAATTTCCCAAAATACCTTATGACTAATATAAATCTACCTTAATTAAGAAGTTACTGTTCTTGGCAATAAATTATGATAAATAGTGAAATAAATTATGCCTGCTCGTTACCCAGGTTGGAGTGCAATGGCACAATCTTGGCTCACTGCAACCTCCGACTCGGGTTCAAGCGATTCTCCTGTCTTAGCCTCCCAAGTAGCTGGGATTACAGGCACCCGCTACCACACCTGGCTAATTTTTGTACTTTTAGTAGAGACGGGATTTCGACATATTGGCCAGGCTGATCTTGAACTGCTGACCTCATGATCTGCCCGCCTCGGCCTCCCAAAGTGCTGGGATTACAGGCGTGAGCCACCGTTCCCAGCCAGATACTTTCATATTATAACACAAGTATAAGGTTAAAAGAATGAGCTAGAGCTTTATGCTGATATAGAAATAGCTCTAAAACGAAGTGAAAAACACAAAGTAATAATGAGTAGAGGCAGCTTATAATCCCATTTGTGAACAGCTTTTGGGAAAGAGAATGGGAGAGGAGTAGAAGGACTAAATATTCTTAAAAGATGATGACTAGAAAAAAACAAGCCAAGAAAAAGGAAATAAAAAGAAGAGAGAAAAATGTAAATTTTCTGGCCTACATCTAGCTATTTTCTGCATATTAACAATGTCAGGTCCCTTTTTCCTGCAGCTACAACCTTTAAGGTGGAACTAAGAAACGAATATATTGATAAAGAAAAGCATACATCAAAAGAGGTATTCTTCTAGTTTTACCTCTGCATTAAGATCACTGGAGATAAAAAATCAAGGATCAAAAAGTCCCACATTTTCATTTCCTAAAATACCTTATGACTACTATAAATCTACCTTAATTAAGAAGTTACTGCTCTTGGCAAAAAGAATACCTATTTTGTTACCAAGGTATATGGTGACGCCCAAACATTTGCAATGGTTCCTGATCTTACCACTCTCAGTCTACACAACCACCATCTCTTGGGACCATATTTGAATTCCTTAAGACTATCTTCCCTAGAAGTTCTTCTGACAGGACAAAAGAGTAAGGGCAAAGGTGAGGGTATGCAGGCAGAAGACTTTCTACCCAGATCAGAAAACCAGGGAATAATAAACAAGGAATGTACAGATATAAGAAGAAAAGAGCCATGGTCAGCTAAATAAAATGACACCTTCCTGTATGGCATTTTACCATCATAGAACCAAGCATCTTCATGAAGAAAGTTAAAAGAAAGAATGACTCTTGAGTTTACAAGGTGCCCATCAAATTGTATTTACTAACTATTAGTTCAAATACTTAACAAAAGTAGTGTATATTGATCTCCAATGACCTACAGTTCTTGAATTTTTTAAAGCATAACAATTTTTCAGCTCAACCCATTACTACTCATTAGATCATAAAAATTAGGATATGAGGGCATGTGGCTCATGCCATTAATCCCAACATTTTAGGAGGCGAGGTGGGTGGATCACTTGAGCTCAGGAGTTTGAGACCAGCCTGAGCGACACAGTGAGACTCTATCTCTATGAAAAATTTAAAAAATCAGCCAGGCATAGTGGCATGTTCCCAAAGTCCCAGCTACTCAGAAGGATGAGGCAGGAGGATCACTTGAGCCCTGGAGATGGAGGCTGCAGTGAGCTACAACCACACCACTACATTCCAGAAAAAAAAAAAAGAAAGGTGGGGAGAAGAGAAGATGGCGCTGTAGGAGCAACTAAGGATTGCAGCTCCCAGTGAAATCGCAGAGGGTTAATGGATGGCATATTTCCAGATGGATCTTTATTGCCCACAGACCAGGAGATTCCCAGGTGTAGGAGCCCCACGGGTCGCCAGCGCAGCTGTTTTGGCCGGCGCTGCAGCGCGGCAGCACTCCGTACAAAATACACTGGTCTGGTTGCCCTGCTAAACCAGCAATTGAAGATCTGGGAAGGCAGATTAGCACATACATCTGATTAAATGGGACTTAAACATAAAGCCAGGCCAGGAGATTCCCAGGCAGCGATGTTGTTTCAGCCGGCGCAGTGGGTCGCCACACAGGACATCACACAGATCCCAGCGCCCTTTCAGCAGGCGACTGGAACACCTGGGAGAGAGTCAACTGTTCAACTTAAAAAAGGGCTCTGAGGCAGGGAGCCAGGTGATCAGGCTTGGTGGGTCCCAACCCCGCAAAAACAAACAAACAAAAAAAACTGCAATTGGAAACCCTTGGGGTTGAGAGTTTCACGGCAAGTACAGCTGAACCCAGGACAGTGCAGCTCGGTGTGGGAGGGGTGTCCACCATTACGGAGGCACTCCACCCCTACAGAGGTACTGTGCCAGTGCTGATGCAGCCTGCCATTGCCAAGGCAACCCACCAAAACAGAAAGAGTCCGCCATTACAGAGGCAGGCCACCATTGCCACGGCAGTTCGAACCACACCCATATAAACAGGACTGCAGGGAATTACACACGGCAGCAGGGCGGAGCCCACGGCAGCAGGGCAGACCCCAGAGCAGCTCAGTATAGCCTCTGCAGGCAGGCAGTGACTAGACTGCCTCCTTGCAGGGCAGGACAGTGCTAAGGATACTCATAAATAAAGCCCTAACTCCCTGGGACAGAGCACCTGAGGAGAAAAAAAGGGGTTTTATGAGTTCTGCTGCAGCAGACTTAAACGGACCTGCCCAGCAGCTCTGAATGAACAGTGGAGCTCACAGCTAAGCATCTGAGCTCCTATAAAGTACAGACTATCTCCTCAAGTAGCTCCCTGACCCCACTATATCCAAAGAGTCACCTCACAAAGGACTGATCAGACTGACATTTGGCGGTCATCATTCTGCGACAAAGATAGCAGAAGAAAAAACTGGTAGCAACCCTTACTGTTCCGCAGCTGCTACAGGTGTTTCCCAGGCAAGCAGGGCCTGGAGTGGACCTCAGCAGTCCTAGAGCAGAGGGTTCAGACTGTTAGAAGGAAAACTATGAAACAGAAATACTTCATCATCAACAATCTGGACGTCTACTCAGAGACCCAATTGGAAAATCAGCAACTACTCAGACAACAGGTGGATAAATCCACTAAGATGGGAAGAAACCAGCATAAAAAAAGAGGAAAACACGCGAAACCAGAACACCTTGCCTCCTACAAGGGACCACAACTCCTCACCAGCAAGGGAACAAACCTGGACAGAGAATGAGTGTGATAAAATGACAGAGTCAGACTTCAGAAGGTGGGTAATGAGAAACTTCCGTGAGCTAAAGAACAGAAACTAAGAACCTTGAAAAAGATTTGAGGAAATGATAACAACAATGGACAGCTAAGGAGGAATATCAGTGAATTGATGGAGCTGAAAAACACAACACGAGAACTTCGCAAAGCATGCACAAGTTTCAACAGCTGAATTGACTAAACAGAAGAAAGGATATCAGAGGTCGAAGATAAACTCAATGAAATAAAATGAGAAGGCAAGATAAGAGAAAAAAGTGAAAAAAGAAATGAACAAAATCTCCAAGAAATATGGGACTATGTGAAGAGACCTATTCTACGTTTGATAGGTGTACCTGAATGTGACGAAGAGAATGAAGCCAAGCTGGAAAATACTCTTCAGGATATTATCCAGGAAAATTTCCCCAACCTACCAAGGCAGGCCAATATTTAAGTCCAGGAAATACAGAGAACACCACAAAGATACTCTGCAAGAAGAGCAACCCCAAGGCACATAATCGTCAGATTCACCAGGGTTGAAATGAAGGAGAAAATGCTAAGGGCAGCCAGAGAGAAAGGTTGGGTCACCCACAAAGGGAAGCCCATCAGACGCACAGCAGATCTCTCGGCAGAAACCCTACAAGCCAGAAGAGAGTGGGGGCCAATATTCAACATCCTTAAAGAAAAAAACTTTCAACCCAGAATTTCATATCCAGCCAAACTATGCTTCATAAGTGAAGGAAAAATAAAATCCTTTGCGAACAAGCAAGTACTCAGAGATTTTTGTCACCACCAGGCCTGCGTTAGAAGAGCTCCTGAAAGAGGCACTACACATAGAAAGAAACAACCAGTACCAGCCACTCCAAAAACATACCAAATGTTAAAGAGTATCAACAAAATGAAGAATCTGCATCAACTAATGGTCAAAACAGCCAGCTAGCATCAAAATGGTAGGATCAAATTAACACATAACAATATTAACCCTAAATGTAAATGGGCTAAATGGACCAATCAAAAGACACAGACTGGCAAATTGGATAAAAAGCCAAAACCCATCGGTGTGCTGTATCCAGGAAACCCATCTCACAAGCAAGGACACACAAAGGCTCAAAATAAAGGGATGGAGGAAGATTTACCAAGCAAATGTAGAGCAAAAAAAAGCAGAAGTTGCAATTCTAGTCTCTGATAAAATAGACTTTAAAGCAACAAAGATCAAAAGAGACAAAGAAGGACATTACATAATGGTAAAAGGACCGATACAACAAGAAGAGCTAATGATTCTAAATATATAGGGACCCAATACAGGAGCACCCAGATATATAAGGCAAGTTCTTAACGACTTACAAAAAGACTTACACTCCCACGCAATAATAGTGAGAGACTTTAACACTCCACTGTCAGTATTAGATAGATCAACCAGACAGAAAATTAACAAGGATATCCAGGACTTGAACTTAGACCTGGAACAAGCAAACCTGATAGACATCTACAGAACTCTCCACCCCAAATCCACAGAATATACATTCTTCTCAGCACCACATCTCACCTACTCTAAAATTGACCACATACTTGGAAGTAAATCACTCCTCAGCAAATGCAAAACAACTGAAATCATAACAAACAGTCTCTCAGACCATAGTGCAATCAAGTTAGAATTCAGAATTCAGAAACTAACTCAGAACCACACAGCTTCATGGAAACGGAACAACCGGCTCTTGAATGTTGACTGGATAAACAATGAAATGAAGGCAGAAATAAAGAAGTTCTTCGAAACCAACGAGAATGAAGACACAACATACCAGAATCTCTGGGACACATTGAAAGCAGTCTCTAGAGGAAAATATATAGCAATAAGTGCCCACATGAGAACAGTGGAGAGATCCAAAACTGACACCCTATTGTCAAAACTGAAAGAGCTAGAGGATCAAGATAAAAAAAACTCAAAACCTAGCAGAAGACAAGAAATAACTAAGATCAGAGTAGAACTGAAGGAAATAGAGACATGAAAAACCCTTCAAAAAAAATCAATAAATCCAAGAGCTGGTTTTTCGAAAAGATCAACAAAATAGACCAGTAGCCAGATTAATAAAAAAGAAAAGAGAGAATAACCAAATAGATGCAATAAAAAACAATAAAGGGGAAATCACCACAGATTCCACAGAAATTCTAACCATCATCAGAGAATATTACAAACAACTCTATGCACATAAACCAGTAAACCTGGAAGAAATGGATAAATTCCTGGACACTTGTGTCCTCCCAAGCCTAAACCAGGAAGAAGTCGAAACCATGAATAGCCCAATAACAAGATCTGAAATTGAGCCAGCAAATAAGAGCCTACCACAAAAAAAAAGCCCGGATCCAGATGGGTTCACAGCCAAACTCTACCAGACACACAAAGAGGAATTGTTATCATTCCTTCTGAAACTATTCCAAATAATCCAAAAAGAGGGAATCCTTCCCAAATCATTTTATGAGACCAACATCATCCTGATACTAAAACCCGGCAGAAACGCAACAAGAAAAGAAAACTTCAGGCCAATATCCATGATGAACACAGATGCAAAAATCTTCAATAAAATACTGGCAAGCCGATTGCAACAGCACATCAAAAAGCTTATCCACCATGATCAAGTAGGATTCATCCCGGGGATGCAAGGCTGGTTCAACATATGCAAGTCTATAAACGTAATTCACCACATAAACAGAATCAAAAACAAAAACCATGTGATTATCTCAATTGACACAGAGAAGGCATTTGACAAAATACAACAGCCCTTTATGCTAAAAACCCTCAATAAACTCAGTATTGATGGAATGTATCTCAAAATAACAAAAGCTATTTATGACAAACCAACAGCCAATATCATACCAAATGGGCAAAAACTGGAAGCATTCCCTTTGAAATCCGGCATTAGAGAAGAATGCGCTCTCTCACCACTCCTATTCAATATAGTACTGGAAGTTCTAGCCAGAGCAATCAGGCAAGAAAAAGAAATAAAGGGTATTCGAATAGGAAAGGTGGAAGCCAAATTGTCTCTATTTGCAGACGACATGATAGTATACCTAGAAGACCCCATCGTCTCAGCCCAAAATCTCCTGAAACTGATAAGCAACTTCAGCAAAGTCTCAGGATATAAAATCAATGTGCAAAAATCACAGGCATTCCTATACACCAATAACAGACTTAAAGAGAGCCCAATCAAGAACAAACTGCCATTCACAATTGCTACAAAGAGAATAAAATACCTAGGAATACAACTAACAAGGAACGTAAAGGATCTCTTCACAGAGAACTACAAACCACTGCTCAACGAAATAAGAGAGGACACAAACAGATGGAGAAATATTCCATGTTCATGGTTAGGAAGAATCAATATCGTGAAAATGGCCTTACTTCCCAAAGTAATATACAGATTCAACGCTATCTCCATCAAGCTACCAATGACCTTCTTCACAGAACTGGAAAAAAACCACCTTAAACTTCATATGGAACCAAAAGAGAGCCTGCGTAGCCAAGTGAATTCTATGTAAAAAGAACACAGTGGGAGGCATCACACTACTGGACTTCAAACTATACTACAAGGCTACAGTAATCAAAACAGCATGGTACTGGTACCAAAACAGAGATATAGACCAATGGAACAGAACAGAGGCATCGGAGGGAACACAACATATCTACAACCGTACAATCTCAGATAAACCTGACAAAAACAAGCAATGGGGAAAGGATTCCCTGTTTAATAAATGGTGTTGGGAAAACTGGCTAGTCATGTGCAGAAAGCAGAAACTGAATCCCTTTCTGACACCTTACACTAAAATTAACTCCAGATGGATTAAAGACTTAAACATAAGACCTGGCACCATAAAAACCCTAGAAGAAAATCCAGGCAAAACCATTCAGGACATAGGAGTAGGAAAGGACTTCATGACCAAAACACCAAAAACATTGGCAACAAAAGCCAAAATAGACAAATGGGACCTAATGAAACCCCACAGCTTCTGCACGGCAAAAGAAACAGTCATTAGAGTGAATGCGCAACCAACAGAATGGGAAAAAAATTTTTGCAATTTGCCCATCTGACAAAGGGCTGATAACCAGAATTTACAAAGAACTAAAACAGATTTACAAGAAAAAAGCAAAAAAGCCCATTCAAAAATGGGCAAAGGATATGAACAGACACTTTACAAAAGAAGACATACATGAGGCCAACAAACATATGAAAAAATGCTCATCATCACTGGCCATTAGAGAAAGGCAAATCAAAACTACATTGAGATACCATCTCACGCCAGTTAGCATGGCGATCATTAAAAAATCTGGAGACAACAGATGCTGGAGAGGATGTGGAGAAATAGGAACACTTTTACACTGCTGGTGGGAGTGTAAATTAGTTCAACCATTGTAGAAGACAGTGTGGCCATTCCTCAAGGACCTAGAAATAGAAATTCCATTTGACCCAGCAATCCCATTACTGGGTATATATCCAAAGGACTATAAATCATTCTACTATAAGGACACATGCACACGAATGTTCATTGCAGCACTGTTTACAATACCAAAGACCTGGAACCAACCCAAATGCCCATTGATGATAAGACTGGACTGGGAAAAGGTGGCACATATACACCATGGAATATTATGCAGCAATCAAAAACGTTGAGTTCGTGTCCATGGTAGGGACATGGATGAATCTGGAGAACATCATTCTCAGCAAACTGACACAAGAACAGAAAATGAAATACCGCACGTTCTCACTCATAGACGGGTGATGAACAATGAGAACACATGGACACAGGGAGGGGAGCACTACACACTGGGGTCTGTTGGGGGGAATATGGGAGGGACAGCGGTGGGGGAGTTGGGGAGTGATAGCATTGAGAGAAATGCCAGATGTGGGTGAAGGGGAGGAAGACAGCAAATCAAACTGCCACGTGTGTACCTATGCAACTATCTTGCATGTTCTGCACATGTACCCCAAAACCTAAAATTCAATAAAAAATAATAATAAAGAAAGAAAGAAATTAAAACCTGTTAAATTCAGAAACATGCTGGATAATTTTAAAAGTTGGAACAGCTATGAAGATGTAAAACCATGCTTCATTTGGGAAAAATAAAAGTTCCTAATAAGAAAAAAAAAAAAGAAAGTAAAAGAAAAATGAAAAAAGATATGACATGTAAAGTTACTATTAACATTATATATGGTATGACCATGAAAACTGAAAGTTCAATAAATAGCTTAATTTGAAAAACCAAGAGGGAAAGAAATACTCACTTTGTTCTCCAGGGCCAAAATTGGACTGCTGAGAATCCTAAGAAAAACGAACATAGTATTATACAAAGTGACACTAAAAGAGAAAGGTTAATTCATGAAGAATGCTTAAATTACATAAAAACACTTCAAGTACTTGAAAAAGCACAGAAAGAATATAATGATCCTGTCTGATCAGCTTTGGCAATTTTGTGATCAATAACGGATTTTCCCAGAGATTAATACAAAAAGAATTAAGTAACTAATAATCTTTATCATTCAATTATTTCAGCAGCATCCATTGTAGTCATATCCTTATTTGGAGCCCTTTAGAAAGTAAATTCAATTTAAAATTCTTGCTTTTAAGAAAACATTTTATTTAAAACTAAAAGTAATACTGAAGACAGTGTACTAGGTGAAAACAGCAGCATAACCTTTATTCATTAAAAGCATACCACCTTTTTGGGACACCGAGGTGGGCAGATCACGAGGTCAGGAGATCAAGACCATTCTGGCCGATATGGTGAAACCCGAGCTCTACTAAAAAATACAAAAATTAGCTGGGTATGGTGGCACGTGGCTGTAGTCCCAGCTTACTCAGGAGGCTGAGGCAGAAGAATCACTTGAACCCAGGAAGTGGAGGTTACAGTGAGCCGAGATCATGCCACTGCGCTCCAGCCTGGCGACAGAGCAAGACTCCATCTCAAAAAACAAACAAACAAACAAAAAACCCACCACTTTTATAGACTAAAAAACCCCATATGAATATTTCCTTATCATTTTACTACCTCCTTCTCCCTGCTCCCAATATTTTATACACATTAGCAACTTGAAGAAGAGATGGTCATATACTTCCATGTAAGCCCTATAACAGCATAGTGGCTGGCACTCAGGAAGCACCAATAGCAAGAAACCAAAATATCACCCTCAGTAAAACATGGCTTTCCAAACTCAATTTTCATGACCAGAACAGCTGTTCCATATGTACAAATTATGCATTTCTCAAAATTAAGTCTGGGTAAAAGATGTAGCACTAAAATTACACAAATATTCCTAAAAGCCTACTTAAAAACAAGCATAATCTTCTTTTAGTTACAGAATTGTCTGTGAAAGAACAATCCAACTAATAAGAAAGCTAAAATATAGTTCTGCTGTTAAAAAACATTAAAAACTTATTTCTACAGTCAACTGATTTTCCAAGAGGATGCCAAGACCATTACATGGCATCCTCTTAATACTGCTGGGAAAACTGAATAGCCGTAGGCAAAATAAAGCTGGGACTTTATATCATACCATATAAAAAAACTAATTCAAAATGGACCAAAGACCTGTAAATGTAAAAGCTAGGGCTATAAAATCCTTAGAAGAAAACAGTGCCAAATCGAAATGACCTGGGATTTGGCAAGAAAAACTGGACTTAATTAAAATTAAGAACTTCTGTGCTTCAAATGATGCTATCAAAAAAGTGAAATGACAGAATGAGAGAAAATATTTGCAAATGATATCTCTGATAAGGGGCTAGTATCCACAGTATCCTTGCAATTCAATAATAAGACAATCCAATTAAAAAGCAGGAAAAGATCCGGAATAAACATTTACCCAAGGAAGACATGTAAATGGCCAATAAGCAGATGAAAAGATGTCTCACACTTGTCATCAGGGAAATACAAATCAAACCTACAAAGAGATTTCACTTCACACCCACTAGGATGACTAGAATCAAAAAGACAGATGTAACAAATGTTGACAAAGATGTGGAAAAATCAGAACCCTGGTGAGAATGTGAAATGGTGCAGCTACTTTGGAAACATTCTGGCAGTTCCTCAAATAATTTAACAGTTACCAGACAACCCAGACATTCCACTCTTAGGTATATAACCAAACAAAATGTAAACATATGTCCACACAAACACTTCTACATAAGTGTTTATAGCAACATTATTCATAATAGTCAAAAACGTGGAAACAACTCAAATGCCCAACAGCTGAAGAATGTATGAACAAAATGTGACATACATCCATATACTGGAATTGTATCTGGCCATAAAAAGGAATGAAGTACTGTTACATGCTACAACTTAGATGAATCTTGAAAACATAATGTTAAGTGAAAAAATCCAGTCACAAAAGACCACATGCTACATTATCCTATTTATATAAAATGTTTACAACAGGGAAATCTATAGAGATAGAGTAGATTAGTTGTTGCTTAAGGGTGGGAAGGAGGATAAAGGGAAAGAGGGATAACAGCTAAAGGTACAGTTTCTTTTGATGATTAACAAATAAACTCAAAACTACTGAACTCTACACTTGAAGCAGGTGAATCACATGGTAAGTGAATTGCATCTCAGTACTGCTGTTAAAAAACTGTAACTAGAGCAGTAGGCAAGAGGTCACTTTTGTGACTTTTCTGTTTAAAATGACAATTCCGTGCTCACTTCAGCAGCACATATACTAAAATTGGAACAATACAGAGAAGATTAGTGAAGCGTTCTATACAGTGAAGCATTCCATATTTCTTTTTGCAGATGACATGATAGTATATCTAGAAGACCCCATCGTCTCAGCCCAAGATCTCCTGAAACTGATAAGCAACTTCAGCAAAGTCTCAGGATACAAAATCAATGTGCAAAAATCACAAGCATTCCTATACACCAATAACAGACTTAAAGAGAGCCCAATCAAGAACAAACTGCCATTCACAATTGCTACAAAGAGAATAAAATACCTAGGAATACAACTAACAAGGAACGTAAAGGACCTCTTCAAGGAGAACTACAAACCACTGCTCAACGAAGTAAGAGAGGACACAAACAGATGGAGAAACATTCCATGTTCATGGTTAGGAAGAATCAATATCGTGAAAATGGCCATACTGCCCAAAGTAATTTACAGATTCAACGCTATCTCCATCAAGCTACCAATGACCTTCTTCACAGAACTGGAAAAGACCACCTTAAACTTCATATGGAACCAAAAGAGAGTCCACATAGCCAAGTCAATTCTAAGCAAAAAGAACACAGCAGGAGGCATCACACTACCGGACTTCAAACTATACTACAAGGCTACAGTAATCAAAATAGCATGTACTGGTACCAAAACAGAGATATAGACCAACGGAACAGAACAGAGGCCTTGGAGGCAATGCCACACATCTACAACCATCTGATCTTTGATAAACCTGACAAAAATAAGCAATGGAGAAAGGATTCCCTGTTTAATAAATGGTGTTGGGAAAACTGGCTAGCCATGTGCAGAAAGCAGAAACTGGACCCCTTCCTGACACCTTACACTAAAATTAACTCCAGATGGATTAAAGACTTACACATAAGACCTAACACCATAAAAACCCTAGAAGAAAATCCAGGCAAAACCATCCAGGACATAGGAGTAGGCAAGAACTTCATGACCAAAACACCAAAAGCAAAAGCCAAAATAGACAAATGGGACCTAATGAAACCCCACAGCTTCTGCACGGCAAAAGAAACAGTCATTAGAGTGAATGCGCAACCAACAGAATGGGAAAGAATTTTTGCAGTCTACCCATCTGACAAAGGGCTGATATCCAGAATCTACAAAGAACTAAAACAGATTTACAAGAACAAAACAAACAAGCCCATTCAAAAGCGGGCAAAGGATATGAACAGACACTTAACAAAAGAAGACATACATGAGGCCAACAAACATATGAAAAAATGCTCATCATCACTGGTCATCAGAGAGATGCAAATCAAAACCACATTGAGATACCATCTCACGCCAGTTAGCATGGCGATCATTAAAAAATCTGGAGACAGATGCTGGAGAGGATGTGGAGAAATAGGAACACTTTTACACTGCTGGTGGGAGTGTAAATTAGTTCAACCATTGTAGAAGACAGTGTGGTGATTCCTCAAGGACCTAGAAATAGAAATTCCATTTGACCCAGCAATCCCATTACTGGGTATATATCCAAAGGACTATAAATCGTTGTACTATAAAGACACATGCACATGAATGTTCATTGCAGCACTGTTTACAATAGCAAAGACCTGGAACCAACCCAAATGCCCATCGATGATAGACTGGACAGGGAAAATGTGGCACATATACACCATGGAATATTATGCAGCCATCAAAAATGATGAGTTCGTGTCCTTTGTAGGGACATTGGATGAACCTGGAGAACATCATTCTCAGCAAACTGACACAAGAACAGAAAATGAAATACTGCATGTTCTCACTCACAGGAGGGTGTTGAACAATGAGAACACATGGACACAGGGAGGGGAGCACTACATACTGGGGTCTGTTGGGGGGAATGGGGAGGGACAGCGGGGGGTGGGGAGTTGGGGAGAGATAGCAGGGGGAGAAATGCCAGATATAGGTGAAGGGGAGGAAGGCAGCAAATCACACTGCCACATGTGTACCTATGCAACTATCTTGCATGTTCTTCACATGTACCCCAAAACCTAAAATGCAATTTAAAAAAATAATAAATAAATAAAATGAACATTCCAGGGTTCGTATGGTGGCTTATGCATGTAATCCCAATACTCTGGGAGGCTAAGGTGGAAGAATCACTTGATGCCAGGAGCTCAAGACCAGCCTGGGCAACATACCAAGACCCCATCTGTACAAATAATAAAAGTAAAATAAAACGAAGATTCCTTTACCCCCTTGAATTGCTTATTGTCTAATATTCATTTACTTGGTGAATGGCCTAAAAGTTATTAGCCCTATATTCCAAGTAATCTCTGATTTCTTTGTCTTATCTCTGACAAAGTCCCCAAAGAATACTAGATTCTGTCTCTTAAACCCACCAAAGGCAAGACCAACTGAACTGGAAAGACTCAGGTCCTCATCTTTTTTACCTACAGTGGCCCTCTAATGGATCTTCCTGGCTCTAGTCTTTCTCCTTCACTCAACTATAGCCTCCAGTTTACCCTTCTACAGCCCAAGTCTTAGTATGTGTCATCACTGCTTGTCTACTTTTTGTAGAACCTCCAATGACTCTTTGTTTTTTCCTAGTATGAAACCCAGACTCCCTGGCATCACACTCATGCATCAAAGTACTAAGAA